ACCTAACCCACCAGGCGCCTACCTCGGTTGCAATGAGGGTTTACCGACGCCAAGGGTTGATACTCTCCCCTCGTAAGGGTACCTGTCGTGTCTCCATGGAGACATAAAGGTGACTACTGAAACATTTTCTATGATATATCGCCTTCCATAACAAATAATTAATTTTGAAAAAATATTCTATATGAATTGAATACGACACAGGAATGGGAAACTTATCACCGGTGCTGATTTTATGTCTGGATTCCTCTTCTGTGCGATTTTTTCGTTGGGCTTGAATGGTCAATTCATAACACGTTGATTCTTCAATCTAAAACATAGTTGGTATTAAATCTCGAATCATAAATTTATTGAGGGTTGAAATTGTAGAAGTTACATGGAATAAGAAACTGAAATGAATACGAAAACTGTCTTCAAATTCCGGTGCTGAAATGCGACATATTCTTCTTGAATGAACGAAACAGATAGCCAACAGTTTTCTCCTTAATGAAAAACACTGTATATACCTAACCCACCAGGCGCCTACCTCGGTTGCAATGAGGGTTTACCGACGCCAAGGGTTGATACTCTCCCCTCGTAAGGGTACCTGTCGTGTCTCCATGGAGACATAATGGTGACTACTGATACATTTCCTTTGATATATCGCCTTCCATAACAAATAATTAATTTTGAAAAAATATTCTATATGAATTGAATACGACACAAGAATGGGAAACTTATCACCGGTTGCTGATTTTATGTCTGGGTTCCTCTTCTGTGCGATTTTTCCGTTGGGCTTGAATGGTCAATTCATAACACGTTGGTTCTTCAACCCAAAACATAGTTGGCATTAAATCTCGAATTAGTGGTAGGTGTTAGTAACTCTAGTTGGTATCCCAATCAGTTGTGCAAAGCTGAAGGTTTCTAAAATATTGTAAAACTGTGACGTTGAAGGTGAGTTTAAATTTATCATATTTATATTGAAGTCACCAAGAAAAATAATGTTCTCAAAATTGGAGAATTTATTGGTCAGTAAATTCTCGAATTCATCTAAGAATTGGGGACCACTCGAAGTAGGCAAGCGATGAATGCTTCCGAAGATAATAACATACCTTTGTATAGTAATCTCCACCCAAACATGCTTCATTAAATGATTGCATCCCTTTAGAATTACTTCAAATTTTATATTGAGGAAAAAATTGAATCCTATTCGAAATGTCATTCCTGTAGATACCTAAACAGTATTTATTTCTGTCTTTCTCATTCAAATTCACAATATCTAATATCTATTTGGGGAAGTACAAATATTTCACGTTTGGAGCCACTCATGAAATTACAAAATAAAACAATAAAGTGCATTTTTAATTTACTTTTTCCAGAATCAACTGTGAATCTATACAAACCTAAAGACTTGCTGAATCTAGTTTCATTATATAAACTATAAATTTTTTGTTTTATCCATTTTGTTTCAGGAAGGATTTGGAAAATATCAAATTTGAATTTTAATGAAGTTAATACGATTCACGCTCATGAAACAAGGCAATTCAATTTATTGATAGCAAATAATTATAATTCAAATTTTGGTAAACAATGGAATAATTTTATACATATAACTCCTTACCTAATGAGTTGAAAAATATAGAAAATTTTAAAATCAAATTAAAGATATATATATCTGCTCAGTAAACTTTAATTCCATATCAACTAATCATTCACAATTTGATTACTTGTAATGTACTTGTAATTTTTTTATGGAAAACAATAATTGTGCAATTATTATTGTCTCGATTTATTATGTCATATGTATGTTTTGTTGTATATATCCCTATTATAAACAATAATGTTTCTTGGGGTAATAAAGACAATCAATCAACACACTTACCATGTTGAAAAGAGACAACTTTCATGCACTCAAATGAAAATAAAATCACTACACCGGATATAATTTTTATTTTTCCACTTTCAATAAATGGAGTCCTTTTTTTTATCACTCGAATAAACCGTACGCGTTAAAATCTAATACGAGACTGATGGCCGATTGGTTTGATTGTAATGACTAATTAGTTACGTCATCCTTCCATCCGGTTGATTCCCAAACTAGTATGACTAATTTCGATATCGATAGGAGGTATACAGTGTGGGGTGAAAAGAACTTCAATATACATTGTCACCGTTGAAGTCCGCATCATATAGAATTTGTTTTCTATTTAGTTTGTACAAATTAGGATTTCATGAACTGTTCTTACTTTGAAAATAGTGCAAAATGAAGTTGATGATTTTTGCAAATCAATAACTGTCAAATCAGATATTAATAATTAGACATTTTCTGTCAGAAAATCACAAAGTCAAAGAATCAATCTTTCGAATAAAAAAGATTTTGAAGTGTCACATGAATTCATTATTAGTAGAAGAAAAATAACTATTGAAAATTCTTGATGCATATCGATCTTCGGTTCAAATTTTCATAAACTATCGTATTTTTGTTCACCTGTACCAATTTCAAGTAACTTTTGATTCTTTTTTGTAATCAGCTCAGCAGAAAAATCCGAAAATCGAATAAAATGGATTTCCAATAAAAAAAAGTTACTCATGAAATCATCACACGAAGTTAGTTCACCATGTATATAAGATTATTATAAAAAAATGGTAAATTGAAATCAGAAGTGATTTAGGAAATTTCGGTAGTACTGATAATATATAAATCGTATTTTACTTTATTCAATTTCATGTTTAACCATTTTATACGAAGTTTTATAAGCTCTATACAGGGTTTTCGAATATATGTCGGCACTATTGCGAACTTGGTCATCATTGGAGCTATCAAGTCCGGTATATGTACAAAGTAGTAGTATTTTGGCAAAAATTAAACAGGAATCTAACATAGCGTTCATGAGTTATGTAAAATAGTTCAATGTCTTTAAATGGGACATCCAGTATACAATATTCTCAATCAATAGGAAATCAGATTCTGAATTATGTATTGATTTTGAAGCAAGTGCAGTGCATGACAAATAATTTTGCACCTTGTTCTATTTATTTCTATTTAATCACTCCGTATATGAATAAAAAGAAAATAATGGAAACATCACTCACCATATCTAAAAAAAACCACAACAATACAAGACATCCCAGTCTTTTCATTGTTGGGAAATTCCACCAGAACTCACTCATTCACACACAAATATTGCACTATAATTACTCAATGAAACCATACATTTTGATTTCCACGTGTAAACAATATAAGCTATTTTTTCAAATCAATCAGATCGACTGTACGCGATGAAATGTAATACGATACTGCGTGGTCACCGCTATCTGATGCATGATTCACCACCTTAATGATTTATCAGTTACACGTCATCATTCTTACCGAATAATTCTCGAACAAGAACTGTATCTTCGACTAATAACATCTGAAATAATGTATACGAGGTGTGGTTTAGAGATAAATTCAATATACAGTGTCACCGTTAAAGTCCGTATCATGAAATATGTTCAATCAGGCAAATTTGATGTTTATGAATTGTTTTGGCTCTGAAAATAATTCGAATTTTCATCAAACCCGAATTTTGTTAAAAAAAAAAACATCAAAAAAGTGGGTTGTTTTGCAAAATATTATATCCACTTAACGAATTTCAATAATTTCAATATTTTTCTTAAACTCTTCGGCCATATTAATTTCTAAAAATTCTAAAAGGTCATTCAAAATGTGGAATACTCATCAGCTGCAAGAATTTCTCTAAACACTTACGGAGGAACAACTTTTTTATTCATTATCTTTCGAAATATCCTGAAAACCTAATTTATTTCATCAAGAAGTTTGTCAAAATTTGCAAGTAGGTACATCCAATTGACGAAAACATAATTTTCAAAATTATTTTGTATTGTTTTTACAGCAAAAACTGATTATGAATAACAAATTTTCGTGAACTACAGTGCCCTCGAGACGATTGAAATGCGATCTAAGACCTTCTGCATGGCACACGTTAATAAATACGAAATTTCAAAATACTTTGTCCTACACTCTTCACAAAATTGCAAATAATTTCGCAACTTGTTTTATTGATCTCAATTTAATCACTCCGTATATGAATAGAAAAAAATAATAAAAAAATCACTCACCATCTCTAAAAAGGGCAACAACAAAACAATACACCCCAGTCTTTTTATTGTTGGAAAATTCCACCAGAACCCACTCACTCACACACACAAATATTGCACTATAATCACTCAATGACACCATACATTTTGATTTCCACGTGTAAAAAATATAAGTTATTTTTTCAAATCAATCAGATCGACTATACGCGATGAAATCTAATACAATACTGCGTGGTCACTGGTATCCGATGCATGATTCATCACCTTAATGATTTATCAGTTACACGTCATCATTCTAACCGAACAATTCCCGAACAAGAACTGTATCTTTTACTAATCACATCTGAAATATTGTATACCAGGGCTTTACAAACGAATTCAATATACAGTGTCATTATTAAAGTCCGTATAATTATGTTTTTTTTTTTCATTCATGCAAATTTGGAGTTCATCAAAGGTTTTTTGCTAGCTGTTAGGTTAGGCCATTATCGTTCTAGATGACTACCTAGTTTAGGTAGTATTAGTAAGCGAGAGCTATTACCTCCTCGCACTAGGTCGCCGACTAGGTTTTCATCTAGATCGACCATTGTCTGCTAAATATGGAGAAAAATATCTAGTTAGAGTAGTAAGCTGGGTAGTTCCAGCTCACTAGATTTTTTCTCCATATTTAGCAGACAATGAGATCGACAATGGTTCGGCTAACCAAAGAATTTAACAATCAAAGTTGGAAGAATGATAATAACAGCCATTCAAGAACAATCACCTTGTAGATTCAATAGCTACATAAGCTACCTTCATATAGACCACAGATTGATCTGTGATATAGACTTACTTACGTTGCTTACTTCATAACAATTTTGCTTTGCAAACACAGAAATTGGAAAATATGAGAGGTTTATCAGAGGAATTTGTTAACTAATAAGTACATATACCACATTATATTACATAATAGAAATCCAGCACATTTCTTTATATAACAATCCAACAAAAAATATTTTCAACATAAATAATAAAATATATAAATGACACAATGAGATGTAAATATTACATATCATTCCTATTCCACTAATATTTTCCAGTTGGAGGAATAAAACTGAGCAGCAAAGTACATTTTTGTGTCAGGCTTGATGGACCAATCATAAGTCACCCTTTTTTCTTCTGAATCAATGTTAATTCTCATTTTATCTTTATTTACCAAATCACAGGTGAAACAAACCTGAAAAAAAAATCAATGAATCCATATATGGACCTAATAAAAACTCAGATTTGAGAATGAACCTTTGATCCTTTGTTGAAGTTTGAGAGGATTGTAGATTTTTCACTACCATCTATGAATATCTTGCCATTTCTGTTTAAAAGAAATGTACCTTGTTTTCCTGACTTCAAGTCATTCAATTGGTGTTGAACATCTTCACAAATCAGGCCAACTAATGAGTTGCCATCATCAACTTCTAAAAACTGGAAGAAAAGATAATATCAATTGAGTATTTCATATTGGGAGGAATATTCTTTTTCAGTAAAAGAATGGATAGGTAGACTATATAACTGTTGTATTTAGTATATTCAATTTATCCTATTTTTATTAGAATACTATTTTGTTAGATAACAAGAATATGCTTTATTGGTTACATTTAAGAAACAATTTACCTCTGTACTTGTTAACAATGTCACATAACAATTTTTCTGTGTGTATTGATTTTGAGAATTAGTGAAATATATTTACCATGAACTCAACAGAATGTCCAACTAGAAACTGTGGTCCATCTGAGAACAAAGTCTTTGCATCATTTTTAAAAGGCTTTGCTATTTTATTCTCATCTGACAACAGATAGTCCTCTCTGGACTGCCAAGAAAAATGCTTGAGTGTTGTGAAAGACACTTGAGGCAATGACCAAGGACACCATTCCAAAGTTCCTTCATATTTGCAGCATACCCTGAACGAATATGGCTGAAGATGCCTCAAATCTTTCACAAGAAATTGAGCATCTAATCCTGAAATGTTTGGCAAAACACTGATTCAATCAGAAATAAATAAAAGGAAATCAATCAGGTGAATTACCCCTGTAACAATCTTTGAAATTAGCTACCAAATGTGGTTCTTTTGATACATCCCCAAAGGCTTTTTGAAGTCTGAACTCTTGTATATCTGTCATTCTTTCTTCATTATCATTGCTCTTCCATTCTATCAGAATGGCTCCAGGTTTTTCAGAACACTCAGTTATCTGCAGAAGGATATTAAATGTTCACTAGGTTAGTTTATCAATACTAAATATTACAAATTTACCTGAATAGGAGCTATTCTGTACACCTCACCAAATTGACTCAAGACATCAGTTATATTAGCTTCAGTGCAAGCTTCATAATGGAAGCTAAGGTATGGTACTTCTTTCAGTTCAGGCACTTCAGGAAGACTCCCCAACATACTGGAATTTTTGGCAAATTCTGTAGTATTATAACCATTTGCATCTATAATGGAATTACCTAAATGTATGAGTTTGTTTGTAGATTCAATTTTATTTGAGATAATACTACGACATTCTTGTAAAGGGGATAAGCCATCAGTTTCACTCTAAAATGAAAGCAATCAGGAAACAAAGGAAATGGGACTATCAAAATAAATCACACATACCTTTTTTGCTTTGTCAATGAGGAACTTTTCCCTTTTATTCAGAACATTTATCAAAGTTTCTCTAATATTCGAAAACGTCTGTTGAATAGATTTTTCAGTATCCAAATAAGTACTTTTTATTTGTTCTACAGCATCTAATAAATCATTGTCCAGACTTTCCAGGTCATGCAAATATGAATTAGCGGCTTTCATAGTTTCTACAATTTCTAGTGAATCCATTTTACACCTCGAACAAGATGATTATTTTATTATGGACAAAATTAAAGTGCGACAAAAACAGAACAAATCAGATCAGAGCTTGAGGTTATGTTGTTATATTTTGATTTTGACACCAAGTCATAATGTCTAAGATACCTTTAACCGGACTCATAATAAAGATTTAGTCATCGCGCCTGTCTGCTCCAAATCTCCTAGGTATTAAATCATTATAGGATCGTTGATTGGCTACGCTACAGCCATGAGTGATAAACTCATATATCTACTACTCATATATGAATCATAGCTGTCCTCAAAGTGGGACCATAGGTAACGAAATCGACCAATAGGCGTTGATGCCGACGTAGGGAAAAAATAATACAAAATTGTCGAACCGCGTAAGCGTAATATATCAATCAACGCCAATATGGCTGTTTCTAGAGTCACTGGATGTTATTCGTTTGATAAGAGTTCGGACACAGAAATGACAACGGTTAGGGTTTTTGAATGTTTAGATTCATCAAGTTACACACCTTGCATTGTGACAAGAGCATCATAGTCGTCCCGCGATTTTTCATTCAAAATTGTTTGAATTTGACAATTCATTCTATAAACGTCAGATTTGAAATTAAATTTCATAATCATCATACTTTCGAGATAAAAGCAGCTATGCTTTATAATAAATTGTGCCAATTATGAAACAAATGGATATCATTTATTCGATTTTCCAAACCAAATATCAAGCATTCTCTTATGAAAGGAAGATATGAAACGGCCTGGGTGGAAAATCAATTTGAAGACGAGCGGAATTTGTGAGGTAGGTACTCATTGAAATTCACTTCTTATAACAGCATCTGATTAGAATGAATCTATATTTTAGGCCCATTTTCAAACAGAAGATTTCAAAATCTGTTTGAGAGAATCTGCTGTTCCATCAATTTACAAAGCAAACGATTTCAAGAACAAAATTCCATTATTATCATCACACAAAATACAAAACAAAATAATCATGGAAAAAGGGGAAATGATCGCAAAATCACATTATGAAATTGAAAATTTGAAAACGAAACTCAGAAAAGCAAGTAAACTACAACGTGATATATTATATTGAATGGCGTTTTTGCTGCTGACCGCGAATTGAAAATTCAACAGTGAAAACTGAATAGATATTTATGTATCAAGGGAATTATTATAAGGGCCTTAATTACGCTGGAGGTTATCGTTTTGGAGATATTTTCTATATCGATCCGTGTTATTTAGCTCCTAGGGCGCTAAGTGAAGATGCTGAGAACTGTACAAAACCAAGTATTTGGTAGGTCTCGTCAAAATAAATTACTTTTTTCCTATGAAATCTTTATCGAAAAATGATTTGTTCTCTGTATTTCAACACCCTGTGTCTCCGAAATGAAGCATTTCCAGACACAAGCTTATATAGACATTATTTCTTAAAATTATCTCAGGAATACTCCAATGTAGTACAGTTTCACATACAATAAGGAATTATAGCTATAAGTTTATCCATATGTATATATTCTCTGATGATATTAAAATGTTTGTTACATGCATTTTTTTCATTTATATAAATCTTGCTCTGCTAGAAGTGTAGGTATCACTATGAATTGAAGTGGGTGTTTTACCCTATATCCATTGTCCATCTACTGCTATGATTGATTTGACAGAAAATATAACCTCTGAAATCGTATCTGACAATCAGGCGCTACTAGGGAAATTGAAAAGACAAAGAGCAGAATATATGTCTTATTCTTTTATTCACTTAAACCATTGTATTATAGAAAATAGAAAAGGACAAAAGTTCAGCTGTGTCCGAACTCTTATCAAACTAATACCATACAGTGACTCTAGCTGTTTCCATCCTTCACTTTCCGTCCTTATAGATTCAAAAAGTACCTCTCAGTTTGGTCCCATTTTCGTTGAGATATCGTATATGCGATGAACCATATATAGAAATAGTACATATATGGATAAACTAGACTGGTCCAACATAGAGTGAGTAGATTGAATAGAGTGCCGACAAAATACCTCCAAATGGCTGCCGTATATCCGGAATGTTATTTGTGGTCAAGTCACTGAATAGTAAAGAATCTGAAGGGTATCTTCCATGCAGCAATGAATTGGCGCCTTCGAAGTGCCCACGTGATGTTAGGTTCAGATATTTGATATTTTCATTTCATCATCTGAATAATCTGAGACTTACGAGTCCTGAAAGATGGATTTAGGTACTGAAGTATAGGGTTTTATGATTGATCGCTGGATATTTTGTGACCAATGAGCAAAAAGCAGAAACAATGCCGTGACAAACTGAATTAGAATACGTAGAACTGAATAAAGAAAACAACACAGGTGGCAACTCCATATCAAAAAGTGTGCCACTATAAAGTCACTCTAGTCCAACATAACTACTAAATCACTTGTCACGTCATCGTACCTGCCCATGGAATTTGGAGTATAGTTCATGAAAAATAATATGGAATAATACTGCTCATGTGATTGAATTATGGTATGGATTCTTTTTTCTTCGACTGTGATATATGATATCTCAACAAAAATGGGACCAAAATGAGAGGTACTTTCTGAATCTATAAGGACGGAAAGTGAAGGATGGAAAATTTGAAATGAGTAGCCATATTGTCGTATTATTTTTTCCCTACGTCGGCATCAACACCTATTGGTCGATTTCGTTACCTATAGAGACAAAAGTTGGTCCCGCTTAGAGGACAGCGATGATTCATATACTGTAGTAGATATATGGATATAGCAGACGGTAGGCAGAGTGTCGTCAACTCGTCATCTAAAAATCAGTTACGATGTCCCCGGTTACCTTGCCCGGTTACCGGTTACCTAGTCACGTCACAATAGGCCTATTCGTTTGTTCTTGCTCTATCTGCTAAACTTGATTTTTCTCTATGACTCTCTCCATAGATCTCTCTCTCTCTCTCTGTTCTGTTCACATAATGCCATGAAGAGAGACAACTTATGGAAAAAAAGTCAACTTTAGCAAGTTTAGCAATACAAACGAACAGGCCTATGGAAAAGGGCAAGATAACTGAAAACCCATAACCTTAAAATAAACACAAAAGTTAATGAAAAAAATAAAAAATAACAAGTACAGTACACGTGATATTTGACTTGATTTTGAGTTTTTGCACGTCAAGTTTTTAGTTTTTTACCTTCCGCAACTCTCTGCTTATTGTGGTTAGGTAGTGATTTTTGATTTAAAAATTGATACAAAATTTGTTGTTTGTTTTTCTAATAAATAATTATTTTCCATAATCTTCATTATCTGTTTTCCAATGAGTAATCTCTAATCTTATCTATACCGAACATTGTTAATATTGTTATCGTGCAATTATTAGAGTTCCATCAAAAGTTGTTGGGTAAAGTAAAAAGTTATTTTGATGAGTTCACACTGTTCACAGTGGTAATACTGGTAATAAGTGTTTACAAAGCGGTTTGTGTATTAGGTAGTTTTCATTTTACAAATATCTTTAATATCCATAATCCTCAATCCTGATTCAGGTTTCAGATAATTGTATTGGATTTTATAGTTCCAGTGATGGATGACGAGAATCATGACAGAGAGGCACGGGTGAGTCCCCTAACTTATCTCTGAGCTTATCTCTGCTATATGGATCTGGGTTTTTCACAAATCTTCATGATATAAAATTTCTATTATTAATTTAAGTATACCTGTTGTAGAATTAAAGACCATCAATTATTTTAAATTGCTTTTGAAAAGTTGAATTGATTTGGAACTTTCATTTTAATGCCAGTGAAGCCTCAAACTCAAAATATGCACCATACACCATCAGTAAAAAATGTTTCAACAGAAAAATACTTGGGGAAATACCTATATTCAATTCTTCTGATCACAAATCACAACAGAATTATTCAGTATGTCCACAGCAACAGCACTAGGTATATTATGCTGATATAGAAAACCTGGGCCCTTTTATGGTAGTTTATAGGTTTATTAGCTATTTTTATACCTAATATGATTTCTCAGATTATTGGATAGTTGTAAAGGGTATTCAACAATGATTGAAAACCACATGACAGATTTCTATGTAACCAAGAGTGATATTTTTTCATTCTGAATATTAATGTTATTAATACAGTCCTATTTGTCATATCTCATTACCATGGGTGGAATGGTGTAAAATATATGCCACATTAAAAATGGTAACATGGCATCTGATCATTGTTGAAGACTCATTAGTATAATATAAACATGTATCTTCAATTCATCACCCTCTATCATCTATTTTACTTTGAATATTGTAAATTGTGAAGAACCCAATTTTAGAACCCCTTGTTTTTTCACAGATTCTATATCTTATTAATTGAATGTCCAGAGATTTTGTTATCATGAATTATTCTTGTAGCCATTTCAATATAATAAAAAGAGTGTTCTTATAGAACATGTAATATCAATATTCCAAGTCATAGATTAGCAATGACTGAGGAAAGCCCATGGTGCATGGCAATAAAACTTTTCAATAAACTACCAGACAGATTAAAATTGATAAACTCAACCAAAGTGTTTAAAAGAGAGATCAGGAAACTACTTATTCCAATAGAACTGTACACAATTGAAGAGTTTACGAACTACAGAATCTGAATAATAACCTGTGAATCATTCTAGATGTCATTCTAATCTATGTTTGTGGTATCATTTATATATAGTTTATATGAGGTATTGTACCAATGTACATATTTTAAAAATAAAGTAGTATTTATTTATTTATAAGGAAGGAAAAGTTCAGCAAATGAAGATCCATTCAGTAAGCTGTAATTAGATTTGTAAAGAGATTTTCTATGAATTCATTTTTTCAATACAATATGAAAAATAATCTGAGAATTATTATTGTGAATTGAATTCAACAGTACCTAAACAATTACTTTATCAAATGAATGATGAACACCCAGTATAGGATAGGAATCTAAAAATAAAAATGATCTGATTAATCACATTATAGGTACATGTGTAACTAAGCATTCCAACAATAAGTTTGAAACAACCCCTTCAGCAATCCTTTTTACCGGGTGTCAACGAATCTATTAGACAAGTCATAACTTCTAGACCATTAGGTGTATCAGAATGAGATTCGGTATAGGTAAATGGTATGTGAAGAGGAGAGTTTTCACATATTTTTCACTTTCCGGTCACTTCTGGTTTCACCGGAAATGGCTCCGGTTCTAAATTTTTAAATGGAACACCCTGTATATTGTAACATTTTTGGATTTCTGAGACAATTCTAGATCAGAATGTGACATTTTCGTAAGTTTTTATGCATACTTAATTTTTTCGGAGTCACTTTTGAAATTACATCTAGGTGGCCATGATCGGAAGTAAACTAATCTAAGGACCTCAGGTGATATCAGAAAATTACAATCGCGAAGTTTTAGTTACAAGTATGATAGATATGATTGAGACAAGTTGGCAAAATTACATTTTCGTGTCTAACTATTATTTTTCAAATGGCGACCTTTTTTGACAAAATTTTACCTTCTGCTCTTCAAGCTTATGTCACTGTCATAACCTAAGTGAGTGTTTTTTTCTCCTGAGAAGACTTGATCGAAATAACTGCAAAATATTATGCATCATGCCTATCCTCGGCACACTTGACAAAAGTAAATGAATTATTATGGAGCATTTTCGTCAGTAATATTTAATTTATGTTCTTATTTGTAATCCAATCGCAAATAAATTAGTATCGTTAGATTCGTCAAAATCTCCTTTTTTCGAAAAGTGCATGTCAAAAAATGATCGCCATTTGAAAAATAATTGTTGGACACGAAAATGTAATTTTGCCAACTTGTCTCATTCATATCTATCATATTTGTCACTAAAACTTCGCGATTGTAATTTTCTGATATCACCTGAGGTCCTTAGATTAGTTTACTTCCGATCATGGCCACCTAGATGTAATTTCAAAAGTGGCTCCGAAAAAATTAAGTATGCATAAAAACTTTCGAAAATGTCACATTCTGATCTAGAATTGTCTCAGAAATTCAAAAATGTTACAATATACAGGGTGTTTCATTTGAAAATTTAGAACCGGAGCCATTTCCGGTGAAACCAGAAGTGACCGGAAAGTGAAAAATATGTGAAAACCCTCCTCTTCCCATACCATTTACCTATACCAAATCTCATTTTGATACACCTTATGGTCTAGAAGTTATGACTTGTCTAATAGATTCGTTGACACCCAGTATACTTTTGTACATTTTATAATGTGAAGATGTGGTGTTGAAATTGGATAAATTGTATAAAAATGAATCATCCTAACTCTTTATCAGCACATAACAATAATATTGGGTGATAAGATTATTAATTTTTAATATACGTCATTTATTTATTTTTGTTGATAGGGGGTTGTTCGAGGGGTTGTTTGTTATGATTAATATTATTAATATTGATAATCAGTCAATATATTGATAGGTAGCTACCTAAAAATCATTCAAAGTAATTATATATGGTATTAAATATGATGTAACAAATAACCTATGTACAGGGCTAGTTTCGAGGCTAGTTTCATTAATGTGAACCCCCTTTATCTTTTTTGTTTTCCACTCATTCAAAAAAATTTAAGGCTGATTTTATACAATGTTCCATGAAGATTTTACTCATATTGACAATGATGCAATGTCTCTTCAAATATGAAGGGTAAACAGAAATAGTTATTTATTATACAAGGGAAAAAAGTAGTAGATTTTAGCTCCAGGTTGTGTTGTCTCCCGACGCGTAGCGGAGGGAGACAAAAAACCGTGAGCTAAAATCTAATATTTTTCCCGTGTATAATACACTATTTTTTTCTGTGACAGAAGGAAGGACGAATCAATATTGAGAAGATATTACATTATTTCGAAATCTGAAAATTATCGACGTGAAATTTCAAGTTTTTAACAGTAGGGACACCTGCGTTTTATAGACATCTTTATCATTCTTTTGAAGTAATCAAATATCTGATGTCACTTCTGTCAGTTCAATTCTGTGATTCGATTTTGAAAAATTGCGAATTCAGTAGTTGTTTAGTAATATACGAAACCGCGAAGTCGAATGGAAGATAAAAGGACTTGCAGTTCTTTCTCGGAGACGGTATTATTGACTCATATTTCGGAACTATCGCACAACAAAAGCCATTAACAGAGTATATATATGTGATATATATCCGGGAAAGAAGTACTCACTTTTTGCCCACGGGAAAAAAGTAATTTATGAAAAGTGACATTTTATAACCTGCCAACAGAGATGAAATGCCAAACTTTTTTCCCGTCACAGAAAAAAATATATTTTTTCTGTGACGGGAAAAAAGTTTGGCATTTCATCTCTGTTGGCAGGTTATAAAATATAACTTTTCATAAATTACTTTTTTCCCGTGGGAATAAAGTGAGTACTTTTTTCCCGGATATATGTATATCACATATATATATACACTGTTGATGGCTTTTGTTGTGCTATAGTTCCAAAAAATGAGTCAATAATACCTTCTCCGAGAAAGAACTGCAAGTCCTTTTATCTTCCATTCGACTTTGCGGTTAGGTATATTACTGAAAAACCACTAAATTCGCAATTTTTTGTTATCAAATCACAGAATTAGACTGACAGAAGTGACGTCAGATATTTGATTACTTCAAAAGAATGATAAAGATGCCTACAACGCAGGTTTCCCTACTGTTAAAAACTTGAAATTTCATGTCGATAATGTTCCGATTTCAAAATAATGTAATATCTTCTATATATTGATTCGTCCTATCTTCTGTCACAGAAAAAAAAGTGTATTATACACGGGAAAAATATTAGATTTTAGCTCACGGTTTGTTGTCTCCCGACGCGTCGGGACCTGGGGCTAAAATCTACTACTTTTTTCCCTTGTATAATAAATAACTAATTTTCAAAATGGAATGCACCGTATATTTTGATAGATTGGAATTCCTCAATTCATCCTGGTTTCAAAATTTCTTTCAAAATATACAGGGCATTCCATTAAAAATATATATTATGTTCTGTATACCCTGTATATTTGAAGAGATATTGCAACACTGTCACTGTGATTGTAACCTGTATGACAAATAATTGTATGAAATCAGTTTAACATTTTTTTGGATGGGTGGAAAACAAAAATGATAAAGAGGGGATCACATTAATAAAACTAGCCCTATATCTGACTCTCCACCTGATTACTTATTTTACAGCATTGCCAAGTTTGCCAATCCAACCATGTTGATGATGATCCTGTCCATAATAATACAATATTGCACAGATTCAATTTCCTACTTTACCAATGGTACAAATATAGGTGAGAATATTATTGGTTTTGGATTTTCCACTGCCGTTTTCATAACTTTACTATGATAAAAAATACTAATGCTGCTTTTTTAGATCAAACCAAACAATCAGCAATTAACAATTTAAATTAATTAATCAAGAGTTGATTTTCTCTGGGTTATATTAGTATACAGGCTGATTCACGGTGAATGGCACATACGTTTGGATAATTAGTTGTGTTCTAACGACCTAAAATATTCTCAACATTGCGACGTTGCCGCTTATATTGAAAAGTAGCAACATCTTTGATTTTTCGAATGGAACACCCTATATATTATTCCATTTTCAGTATCTTACTAAAGAGCCGATTTCATCAATCTATTACACTTGGGGTCTAGCGGGAATGATAAAGATATAGAGTGTGAAAAATCGAGATTTTTCAACTTCAAAAATTTCTGGTGTTGAAACTATTTATAATTAGTCAGAACGATTTTCATGTCCCTATTTCAACTTTTCATGTACTATAAATTAATATTTAATTGAATTAGATACAGGGTGGTTGAAAATCTTTTAATTCTAAACCACCCTGTACCTATTTCAATTAAATTGATTAATTGATAGTAAATAAAAAGTTGAGATAGGGACATGAAAATCGTTTTGACCAATTATGAATAGTTTTAACACAAAAAAATCTTGAAGTTGAAAAATCTCGATTTTTCGCACCCTATATCTCTGTAATTGTTTGGTTGAATCTATGGATGTAGCATAAGAAATGCTATGAAAAATACATACCTTTTTTTTTAGAAAAGCTTTGGTGAAAAATCGTCATGGGGTGAATGTGGTTGTTAGTTTAAATAGAAGAAATGGATATGTCTACAATTTTATTGAAGATCATAAGAGGGGCAAATCTTCTCTAAAGGTACTAACCATCTTTCCTATTCAGTCCCTATGTATTTTTTGTAATTAATTTTTTTCAAATGGCTCGCGGTTTTCAGCAAAATTGAATAACCTTTGAACCATCAACAATTTGATAACCACATATACCGTTAGTTTGATTGCAAATGACCGCCTCATTTCTTTTGATTCATGACTTATGAGACACCCTGTATAAGGTACCTACTGGATGTCATCTGTCTGAACAGTCTGAACAGTTGAATGCTTATCAGCGTTGGGGATGCTATTACAATTGTACTGAATCTATTACTATTACACCTTGCTTAGTACGCAGATATGACAACAGATAAAAACTCCATACTCTAGTACGTTCTTCGATTCCATCCATAATAACGTAGTTTATAATGATGATGTTATCAAGAATATGAGTAGCCCAACGAATTTGTATCTGAAAAAGACAATTGAAGTGCCTGAGCTTTTTTCACAATTTACATATCAAACTTTCCTTCGAATTCTGTCAGAAGTATTTATTTCGTTTTATTTCACTTTTGCCTTATTGACTGAGTTATTTATGTCATCCCATTTTTCGTTATAGTAGTTATCGAGTGGTTATATTGTTTCAAAACTACCCAAATAAAGATTAATTTTCAATATTCCTATATATTTTCATCACATGTCGAATCTAGTACGACCTATTACAATTGCGTGCTAGATTTTAGTACGAAGGATCGCTACTAAAACTAAATACCCAAAGCTGATGCTTATCCACATTCCACTCAGCATCTTTCTTCCATTTTACTGTCTTTTTTACATGGATATCAAGGTGGATAGAATATGGTGTAATCACATACAGTGTTTTGTTTCTCCCAAAACGCTTGACCGCAGATTCCGCAATAATGGCACATTAGTTCTCAGTTGTCCGCAAGATGACGACACTCTTTACAGATTTTTCTTATGACAGAAAACAGAAAATGGCGCTTACACACCGCTTGCACCAGGAATAATGATATCATAACATTCATAACATAACCTCAAATCAAATGAAATTAGATTTGAAAGTCTGAAACTGTTTTTTGGGAAATCTTAATTATAATCAGTTTCGCCATCTAACGGATAAAATGCGACCTATATTCCGCGATATTGAAAAGAATCCTTCAGTCAAGTAGGCGGTAGGTCAAGAACTTTGACCGAAAAAACAGTAGATGGACTTTGATAGGAGTTTCTACACCATCTTCTGTTCATCCTGATGAATATAGTTGCCATGTATCAAAGCGAAAAACATCGTTATCTCACATATTTTGGGGTGATAATCGTCGTTTTAAAACATTGATATAATCTGCCTCTACTCTGGAGCCTGAATAAAATAAGATCCGTGGTATTTTTTTCAGATCACTCCACAAATCTTGATATCCCATCAAAATACCATTGAATTTCCATGTAAGGTGGTGAACACCAGGAGGGATTCAATTATGCTAACTTCTTGTAAAATTCTGCACTGTTACCCACTATTTTCTTTGCATGACCCTAAGAATAACTTAGAAAATGGAAAGGTGTTTGAACTAAAACCAGGTAAAACTTTATCATACAAGGTATCTGACGAAGAACAATCCAAGAGATAAAAGAAACAGATTAAAATATTTTCAACAGTAAAAACTAGAGTTCCTAAATGTACTTGTCAATGCTGTTTTGACGTTTCGTGTACATTAGAGTACGGACACTATCACAATCACTGACAATCAGACATAACCACAAATAAATTGATGGGAAGAGCGGGAACTGACAGCACATGGACGTACATGGCATAAATTTCAAAGGTTTGACAAATGCAAGTTTGTGCAGTTTACAATTTCCATGGAATAACGTAATTCTACAAAAATGGAAACAGAATATGATGCGGCCGGCATGGAATATAGGTTCATGCCACAAAACTTGCGAGGTATTCGAATTTCTTGGTAGGATATAGAACATTTTTCAACGCATTTTTATCAGGTACACTTCAGAACGGAAGATTTGATGTTGAACAATAGGATCGAATTGAGAGAAAGGGCGAACCCACAATTTATAAACTGAGAGAGTATCGAAAAGAACCTTTATTCAATTCAGAACCAACAAGAAACGAAAAAGTTGCAGATAATGAAATTCATTTCGAACATATTTTGAAAGAAAAAGACTTGAGAATCGAATTTTTAGAGCAGGATTATTAAAAAATCCAAGGTTTACGAGTGGAAGAGAGTGAGGAATTCAGGAAAAAAAGTAGAAGAGAAAAATGGAGAGTTGGAAAATAAGTTGAAGCAAAAAGATTTAGATACAAAAGTCAGAGTCAGCAAAATTTAGAACTATTACCTAAAAATTATTTCAGATCTGAAACAAAATCAGCAAAATTCATAGTTTTGATGAACAATACTATGAAAAACTTTTGCATTTGAAAAACCGAATAGAAGATTTGAATAACAATTTGAATAATATTAGTGAAAATGTTGCTTAATATGAGCATGATTCATCTCAAAATTCAAAATTTAATGGTAACAGATGGGGTGCAAAAACGTTGGTGATCAAATTCACGTGTGGTTCATCTGAACCACTTCTTGGGTACCAATAAGATACGAGCAAGATATTATCAGAGCAGAGAACAAGAACGCTTAACAAGTGCACCATTCATGTTAGGTATTGAAAAATAAATGATCTTCCGATGGCCGGGTTCGAACCAACAATACCCTTTAGCAATGTGAAAGGCGATCTATAGTAAGTCGAGCGCTGAAGTCCATTTATACCTACTTCAAGTTCAAGTTTATTTAATACAATGAAACAGTCTAAGTAAACAAACAAACAGGTATTAAAAAAATTCGATCAAACTATAGGGGCAGAAGTCGAGGAGATGCATCTTCATTTTATTTTTGAACGTATGCAGTTCATTGATCAATTTTAATTCTTCGGGAATAGTATTGTATAGTCTGAGTCCCAATATGTCCGATGATTTCTGAGATATCGTCAAACGTACGTTGGGCAAATAGAAATTATTCATTGTTCTCGTTTGATAACTATGTATTGAATTATGTTTCTTTAAACTTTCTCGTTTTTAATGTATATTAGTTGAAACTTCAAGGATATATAACCCACATAGGGGAAGTAATTGTATTCTTTGAATAATTCCCTACATGTGGTGCCACTAGGAACACTGACAAGACATCGTACAATTCTTTTCTGCACTATGAAGACTTCATGAGCGGCAGATGAGTTACAGATGGTGATTCCATATGTCATTCGAGATTGAATTTCTCCGTGGTAAAAGAGTAGGAGCCCTCGCATGTCTAAAATTGATTTGAGAGCTCTCAATTGAAAGTATTTAGTACTCAATGTATTTGCTAGGGATTTACAATGTAATTTGAATGATAGATGATGATCAAGTCTGACCCCTAAGAAAGTAATGTATTCATCCCTCTCTATAGTTCAATCATCTATATTTATTTCTACAACAGGAACATTTTTATTCTGTCTGCTATGAAAAGTTAAGTAATTTGTTTTTGAAGCATTCGAATAAAGGGAGTTTTTATATGACCATCTACAAAGTGACAATAATATCATCAATTTTGTTTTGAATTTGAGTATCAGATTTGCCTGTGAATAATAATGTAGAATCATCTGCATATAAACAGGTGAATGCATTTGGAAGGATCAGAGGCAACTCATTGACGTACAGTGTGAACAGAATGGGCCCCAGTACTGATCCCTGAGGGACTCCAATTCCAACCGGGAGTTCACTAGAAATAATGATCGTTTTCTTATTATTCTCCTAGATAATATCTTTCTTTGTCTTTGATTTATATCATATGGATTTACTCTTCCAAGGACTTGTGGAGGAAAGAAGATGCGAGGCTCCATTATCTAAGCGAAAAACATATTCTTCTCCTTGTCTGGCAAAACATATAATTTGCTTGAAAATCGTTTGTGGTTATGTTTGATTGTCACTGCTTGTCTAGTGTCCGTACTCTTATATACAAAAAACTTCTAAACAGCAGTGTCAAGTACATTTAGGAACTCTAGTGAAAGCTATTAATTTTACAAGTAGGTATAACTGACCTGAAAAAATTGGGAGACCGTAGGTTAACTCGTTAACTCTTCTAGGTGCTGAATATACTGTCATAGTCAGATTCTCAAGTCAAGATGAGGTTTTGATTGGTGGCTACAAAATACCTGTATCTTTTAACTTTCAAACGAAAGGGAAATCAGTGGATACATTCTCCATAGCTCGAGCAATAGTAAGTTTGATTTTCACGTATAGTGTATTTAGTGTTTTGTTATTTAATAACATTGTAATTTTGTTATAACATTTATTGATATTGTGTCTTATTACTTTTTTTAAAGCTTTTATTTAACTTGCAATGTATGTTTGTTCGGATCGAAACTTTGAAATCCATTATGAAGTAGATATCTTGAACCGAGTGAGCTGAAATTTTGTATACACGTTTAGTTTGGAGTACGAAAGGTGTGTGATGTCATTGTAAATCCAATATGGCGGATCATCCAAGATGCCGGAAGTTATTTTTAATGCACTTCTACAATATGGATATCAAATGAAAGGGCTTGTTGAGAGTAACTCGAAAAATTATGTGACGTCATTCTAAATCCAATGGTTATTCTCAATCTACTTCTACAATATGGGTATCAAATGAAAGGGCTCGTGGGGAGCGACTCGAAAAATAATGTGATGACATATTTCCAATTTGGTGGATCATCCAAGATAGCGGAATAGTTATTATTTATGCACTTCTGCAGTATGGGTATCAAATGAAAGGGTCTGCCGAGAATAATTAGAAATAATGTGATATCACTCTAAATCCATTGAAATATTTCGTGCTTTCCTATAAAATGAAAGGGATGGCTGAGAATAAAAATGCAGGTTTAAAAAAATCGATTTTTAAGCCTGTAACATTGATTGATCACCTTCAACTAGTGTAATTTGGCGAGATGGGCTTCATCAGCATTGGTCTGCAATCTGTCTAGTGAAGGACAACCCCAAAACGATAACTAAAATGTAAAAAATGAATTAACACAATTTATTAGTTTTTTTACCTCTCAATTTATTTTCATAGAATCTTTCGTTTTATAAAAAAAATGACGCGACCTTTATTTCCGCCATTTTTTACGCGATTCCAATTCCTTCTATTTACAGGGTGAAACGTTTTTTTCTTGAAAAATAAACTGGGTGATTGATCTTCGAATACTTATGTGGGCGTACTAGTTTATGAACCCCTCATATTGGTTCTTTGAAAAGCTATACAGGACGTTGTAATGAATCAGGGGAATATAGTTTTTTCATGATATCTGATAGTAAGTTTGTGACAATGAATATTCTTCTGAATTCAACCATATCTCTCTCTTGATTACCTGCTTTGTTCGGTAGGACCAAGTTCACTGCGATTCTTTTTTAATGAACTTTCGACGAAAATTCTTGTGGGTTCTGAAAAAGCAACTCGAAACGTACGAATTCAACAGAAGGAAATATGTTATTTGAATCGTTTAATCGACGTCGTCACTGTAAAAGTATTTGAAATTAAACACACACTGTATATAGGTTTTGGCAAAATTCTTAATCTCACTTCAAAGATCTTCATGTATAGTAAAAATTTCTGATATTCTGAAGATAAGAACTTTGAAGAAATTGTGAAAGTCTTATCGTTTGTGATTGTTTTCACATTCATCTTTAGAATATTTCGGTGGAAGAAGAAATCGCTGAGGAGGAAGGACAAGAGAAAAGTCCTTTTAAGGGGAATGAGTGGCAGCCTACAGTTAAAATTTATAAACCAACTAAAAATCAGTGAGTTGCCACTTCACAATTTCGAATTCATAATATATTTCTTCATTTTGGTAAAAATTCCAGGAAGTTCCAAAACAGTCACATCATCCCAAGTGTTTACTTCAGATGCATAAAATTTGGTTTACAAGAATGGCATAGTATGTCCACGGAAGATCACCAAATTCTGATGGAATTGAGGTAAATACAAACGTCTACAAAGATATTTGCGCATTTACTTAAAGAATTTTACTAGAATATCTCAGAGCTATTGACATTCTAGGTTATATACTTATATAAAATAGGACTTTTCATTTGAAAGTGCCCAGTTTGGCTCCCTCTGAAATTCTGAATATACCTTAAGGTATGAAAAATCGAATTCCATTCACTTCTGAGGAATGGATTTGTTTCTCAGAAGTCAAAAATAACAATAACTAAAAAAAAATTATCGAACATTTTTCATCAGTCATACAAAAATTTAACAGAGAGACAACTAAGAATAAAGTATCAGACAAAGATTGACCAGTTAGTGATTGCATTTTTGAAAAATCACTTTATTTATATTTTTAGGCGCAAAGTGGAACCGGGCAATGTCACAAAAGAAAACTACAGGGAATTTTGGCAGGCAGTGCTTTGGCTGGAAGAAATGGGCCAAACGCTGGGCTTGCAAAAATACAACATGGAAAACGTAAGCTCTAGACTACTGTCGATTGTTCTGTTTTGTAGATTGTTCTTCTCTCGGTTCTTCCTTATTCGCGAGATTCACGAAGTGAGCGACATCTAGGTTACATAATACGAACTTCAAACTGGGGGAAAACAAACTGTTGCCTATGGATAAAGTGCATAGACTACATTGCATTCAGCTTGCTGTAGCTGTAGTCAAACTTGTCAATGTCATAAAGTGGTGGCACTGTTGGTAGTGATGATGGTTGAGTTGGTAATTTTTTTTACATTATTACATTTTTTTCAGTTTAGTGAACAGTGAACGGGTGAAGAATTGGAGATAGTTCAAACAATTCAAACTAATTATGACGAGCAAATAAATTGACATATAAAAAAACAGCTACAACATGTTTACAATACCCAGATTGTCCTGCTTTGCAGGAACAAATACAGGTCCATTGTTCTACAGGAGTTCCTCTGGACCCCAAAATGTGCCTTTTGTTGAAGTCATCTGCCTCGCACAAAATCACATGATTAGCACGGAGAAATGCTTCTCCTTCCACTACTGATCGGCTTTTTCCATCTGAATAGAGCAAAATATCTGCCATCTACAACAGGCACAATGTCAAGAAATTTAAAAACTCATTACTCTTATCAGTACACAGTACACAAGCTAATGGCACTAATGGGATTGAGTTTGTTTTCCCCCAGATTTGACGTGGCTTTGACATGGAACGATAAAAACCGAGCGCCACCTGGTAACATTGATTCCCGCGAATATCAAGTGAAGTTTTGTTTTGATTGAATCAAGTGTTGGATAACATTCTTGAGACTACATTGTCTTCCTTCATTTATTTTTGTTATACCGGGTGGCTACGGAAGTATTGCCTACGGAATATCTCAGTTATTGTATGAAGTAGGTTTGTGAAATTTGGAGCGTCGATATAATGACATAAGAGCTAGAATTTGAGCATATTGGCATGTCGAAGTTAACTTCCGGTCTGATCGGAAGTAACATCAACTTTCTTATTTTAAATGGAAACCCTATTTTTTTTCTTTTCGCTTTATTCAGCATTCAATTCCCTTTCTAATGACATATCACAAGTTGGTATCTAACCAGAAACTAGATCAGAAAAAAATTATTGAAATTCACCGAGTAGGCCGTGGATGCAAAATGAAAGCCAAAAAATGACATCATTAGAAAGAAATGGTTATGCTGAATAGTACAGGCAAGAAAAAGTTGCATGTTCCTATTTAAGTTATGGACCTACAGAGTATTGTTTTTTTCCCAATTCTTCCAATATTTTTTTGGGCGGTTTTTTATAACGCCGTCGAATGAAAATTAAATATCACAGTAGTAGCAACTGCTATCAAGTGACGTATGGTTTCCATAGCCAACTTTTCAATGTTTGGCTTTCATTTTGCTTCCACGGCCTACTCGGTGAATTTCAATAATAATTTTTTTCTGATCTAGTTTCTGGTTAGATACCAACTTGTGATATGTCATTAGAAAGGGAATTAAATGCTGAATAAAGCGAAAAGAAGAAAAAATAGGGTTTCCTTTTAAAATAAGAAAGTTGTTGTTACTTCCGGTCAGACCGGAAGTTAACTTCGACATGTCAATATGCTCAAATTCTAGCTCTTATGTCATTATATCGACGCTCCAAATTTCACAAACCTACTTCATACAATAACTGAGATATTCCGTAGGCAATACTTCCGTAGCCACCCGGTATATCAACTCAATTGTTGACATCAAATCGAAAGGAAAATTTTACATGTTCGCTGATGACACTACATTGATTTATTCCGAAGACTTAATCCAGCAAATCAGAAATGCAATTGAAAGTAACTTGATTGTTTTATCTTCATGGTTGAGTATAAATTACAGCAAATCAGCATTTATGTATATCTCTAAACTAGACGACACCTCTCAAGTGAACTGAAATTAGATATTAATGATGAAATCATCAAATATTCCATAGCCATCAAATTCCTTGGGATATTCCCTGGGGAACATTTGTCATGGTCCAAACATATCGGATCGACCAGAAAGAAAATATCTCCAGTAATCGGAGTACTCTACAGTATCAGACACCAAATCACTTCGAAATACTTGAAATGTATATATTTTTCCTAGGTCTATTCAAATTTACAATACTTGATTTCAGTTTGGGGTACAGCTAGGTTAAACTGCATCCTCGTAGGATATCTCTATTATTCCGTGCAAGTTATACATTATAATTTTTCTACGGCTATAATAGATAACAGTGGCATTTTCGATTTCTTTCCGCACTTGTGAGGTAAATAGGTAAATAACTATTTCAATACTTCACAGTGAGATGAAAATCACAATATCGAATATTTCCCTATTTGTCCACTGGCATTTTTCGGCATAATGACCGAAAATGCGGCGACTCATCTATTCGGGTAAGTGTCAATAGTATGTCATGGATCCTTTATTTTTAGGTGACCTTGAGTTTACGTGGAGGAGGCGTTTTGGAATTGGTGGTGCCAGGTCTGGCGGAAAAGAGACCTTCTGTTATCGTGGGAGACATGATCGATGTTAGGGTACACGAAGACCATATCGGGTACAGGGGTATCATCAAAAGGGTCAACGATACGACAGTGGAGATCGGCGATATAGATGAAGAGTTAGTTTTTACTAGTAATGTATCGGGGAATTTTCCGGGGGTACACTAATTTGTTTTAAAAATTACCTACCACTAACCTCAAAGGCACAAAGTTTTTTTTGTTCGGGTTTTATCAAATTATTTTTTATACTTCTTTCTTGGAGGTTTGGGAAATGGATAATGCAAATGATATTTTTATTATTATTTTTAACAATTTACTCCATTTTACCCGAGGGGCTAACCGCGGTGGAATTCTGGTGTACAAACAGCTGGAATTCCTTAGAGTTCCTTGAAATTCCTTGGATTTATTTGGAATTCCTTGGATTTCCTTGGAATTCCTTTGGTGAAGTGTGGTATAATTCTGGCGTGAAAGCAACTGGAATTCCTTGGAATTATTTTGAATTCTTTGGGACTTCTTGGATTCCCTTGAAATTCCTTGGATAAGTACGGTATAATGCTGGTGTACAAACAACTGGAATTTCTTTATGGAATTGAAGACGTCGGTGCAAAAACAAAGTCCTAAGATTGAATTAGTGTTGCTTACATGATATTGTTCGATCTTCCACAGCATACTTTCATGAAAATGTTCCGTTACGAGGGGAACACAAAAAGTATTTGTTTTATAAAATGTCAATTATACCAGCAGATTGTGAATTGAAAGTATGATTGTGATATGTCATTGTAAAGGTAATTCTATACCAAATTGTAATTTTCAAAAAAAAAAAACTTCCTATTCGAAATATAAAAATTGGATGCGCTTCCGGTCAAACCGGAAGTGACATATTTGGATTGATACTTGCTAAATTGTACATTCATAACATCAAATCGAAGTACCGAATTTGAAACATCCATACAAAATAACAACGAAGATACAGGGGGGTAAATTGGTTCCGGGTCACCCGGTATAGTACAGCTAGCATCTCTATAATTTGATCATTTTCTATAAATTCTACGCGATATGAGTAGGAATCATCATGTAGCAATCTCATTATTTTATTCCCATCACTCAGACGTACCCGACTAGCCCAGTCAACACACCTTTTGGTCGTCAACCTCGAAATATGTCGAACAACTCTTGACCAAAACTCGTTTATACATAGAACGGCAAAGCTTCGGAATTTTTTGCCTAGCAGAGTATTTCCAAGAACTTATAATCTCCAAAAGTTGAAAAAAACCCCAATACCTACCTCCTCTACCTATCCTCCCTAGGTACCCACAATGTTCCCCGAACATCAAAGGGATTCCCTTTGGTACGCTCCAAAAGATGAAAAATAGTGGCCGTATTTTTTTTCCTCATATTTTGTTTGCCTGAGAGTTCACTTTGCCCTTTGGCAGTATGAAAAAAAAACTATTGAAATCATAATGGAATTTGTATTCAAGCAAGCACTAAGCTTAGACGATCCCCTTTCTTCACATTTTTGAAGTGGACATTCCGCGTTTTTTCCATACGTTATTGCGATATGGACTTCTGCTTATACTAAAATATAATAATAATAATAACATTTATTGATCCCAAGAAACATACAATGTTTATAGAGGGAAACAAAAATAAAATAAAATCAAATATGCTATACAATGAAAGATAAACAGTTCAGTCAGAATTAATTGATACAAGGAGAGAGTTAAATTGATAAAATATATTTCTTTAGTTCACACTTGAATTAGGCTATCAGATGGCGGTGTTAAGTCAATGTCCACTATATTGTGACATTCCCCCTTTTTCCCCTGTGGTCTTGTGGCATATCCCGTAAGGACATTGAGAATGGGACACCCTGTATATTTGTAGACCTGTTTTACAGATTGATTGAAATGATCGAGAGTAATCCGGGGGTAGAAATAGATGTGAGATTCGTTTTGAGCCGTCTGGGTTTCGAAAGGATGCACCAGGGTGAAGAACAAGTGACTATCAATGGAATGGTGCCAACTCTGTTTCCGGATATCACCTTGAGGCAGAAAGTGGTTCGTGAAGTGCGATCCATCAATAATGGAGAGTAAGTTCAGGTTTCGTAAAAATTCATAGTTGGTTCTGTTTTTCAAGTGGCATTCGAATAGTGTACCTACCTAGTCTATAGTTCCACCACCAGGTGGGAGGGATGTCGATTGCCAGCTGTCGCGACCGTAGCGCCACCATCGCCACCTGGTGGTGGAAATATGAACTAGTGGGCCCAGACGAAGGTAGGTACACTACTCATTCGCAATACTTGAGATTGAAATGAAGTTATTCTGAATGGTTGGCAACGTCGAATCTACGTTATTTTCAGGTTGCAAACTTAGTTATTGTAACAAGAATTGTACTGAAACGTATCATTATGTTTTGATTTCTAGACATTGTTAATTTCTCATATTTTTCTACTTTACAACTCATTATTCAGGGAATCAATTTGAAGTAAAGGTTCAGAGATAATTAGTACTTTTGAATAAATAATTTCATTAACTTAATGGTTTCCTTTGTAGAACTTGTATATCGATCGGTACTTCAGCAAGAGCAAGATCGACATTTCTGAAACGTTTGTGAAACATATTTTTTATGTATCTCAAAAGTTAAGACTTTTAGGACATACGTTCATGTGAAGTTTTCTTCTTAAAATGAGTCAGAGAATCACCCTCTCAAATATTATAAAAATATAAATGTTTGGCCACAGTCAATCTATTGATTGAAATGTTTCACTTGATACATGCTTCAAATTAGCCAGATGCTCTTCAAACCTAGTAACATTAATTCTTCTTGTTTGTCCTATATATGTCTGGCCACACTCAATCTATTGATTGACATGTTTCACTTGACACATGCCTCAATATGAGCCAGATGTTCCTTAAACCTAGTAACATGACTTTTTCTTGTTTGTCCTACATATGTTTTGCCACACCCAATCTATTGATTGAAATGTTTCACTTGATACATGCTTCAAATGAGCCAGATGCTCTTCAAACCTAGTAACATCAATTCTTCTTGTTTGTCCTATGTATGTTTATCCACCCCCTCAAATATTAGCATGTTTTTAAGGAACACCCTGTATATAAAGAAGTACATTGAGAATTCGCAATATTAATTCTTTCTCGGTTTATTCAACAGAAAACAACTACTTTCCTGGCTATATGCCTATGCCACGACGAACATTGAATTACATCTATTGAACACACACGATAAGAATTTGAAAACAAAATCTTCTGAAGTAGAGAATTTGTATTTTCCTTCATATAAAGATATACACATAATATGATTCTGCATATTCAACAGAAAACAACTACTTTCCTGGCTATTTGCCACGTCGAACATTGAGTTATATCTGTTGAATATCCAAAAAGAGAGCATGAAAAATCAAAATCCTCAGAAATTGAGAATTTACATTATCTCTTAAATCGAATAGAATTATATGATGTATTATGAGATAAAAATATAACTCACCAATATATTCAGTATTGAAATGAAAATTGAAATGTATAGGAGAAGTATACTTATATGAACTCTGATCTTGATGAACTCGGAACTTCCAAAAAAATCATTCGTATCAGTGAAAAAAAATCATATTAATAATAAAAGCAATCAATGATGAAAATATTTTTTCAGTTTCTACAATGGGATGATGGTAACGAATCCATAAAATCCTGAACGGCACCTCTAGCACCGCACCATATAGTAACATCAATTCTCTTCGTTTGTCCTACATATGTTTCGTCTATGTTTCGTCACACATCGAGATATACGTCAAGAAAAATTACAGGCTATAAAAAATAGTCAAATAGGGAGTGGTGCTCTAAACATTGTGCTGCATTCATAGATGGTACATTTTCCAGAAAGGATTGTTTGTCGTTTGTAGGTCAACGATCCACGAAAACATCCTGTGGTATTCGAACCACGAAAAAGACAACACCGTCAGAAAGATAACGCCTGGAGAATTGATTAATGTTATCTATTTGCTTCAAATGTGTTTGGTGTTCCTCAAACCTAGTAACATTAATTCTTCTCGTTTGTCCCACATATGTTTCGTCACACATCGAGATATACGACAAGAAAAATTACAGGTTATTGAAAAGAGAGCATGAAAAATCGAAATCCTTTAAGATTGAGAATTGACGTTATCTCTCAAATCAAATAAAAAATATATGATGTATTATGATATAAAAATATTACCCACCAATATGTTCAGTATTGGAATGAAAATTGTAATGTATAGGAAAAGTATACTTGCATGAACTCTGATCTTGGAAAAAATATCATATTAATAATTATAGCAAGCAATGATGAGAATATTTTTTCAGTTTCTACAATGAGATGATAGTAACGAATCCGGAACAAAAAATGGCCGTCCACAAAATCCTGAACGGCACCTCTAGCACCGCCCCGTATATCGTTTTCGGCCCGCCCGGTACCGGCAAAACCATCACCATCGTCGAGGCCATACTGCAGATCAAGACGAAAACTAAGAACAAAATTCTCGTTTGCGCCCCGGCAAACGCTGCTTGTGACATGCTTACCGAAAAATTGATGCCGCATTGCAAAAAAGACGAACTGATCAGGATCATGTCGGAAAATGTGGATCGGTGAGTACATTCATCATCATGTGAATCCCCATTTCTTTCACCTGATACATGCTTCAAATGAGCCAAATGTTCTTCAAACCTAGTAATATTAATTCTTCTTGTTTGTCCTACATATGTTTGGCCACACTCAATCAATTGATTGACATGTTTCACTTGATACATGCTTCAAATGAGCCAGATGTTCTTCAAACCTAGTAACATTAATTCTTCTTGTTTGTCCTATATATTTTTGGCCACAGTCAATCTATTGATTGACATGATTCACTTGATACATGCTTCAAATGAGCTAGATGTTCTTCAAACCTAGCAACATTAATTATTCTTGTTTGTTCTATATATGTTTGGCCACAGTCAATCGATTGATTGAAATGTTTCACTTGATACATGCTTCAAATTAGCCAGATGCTCTTCAAACCTAGTAACATTAATCCTTCTTGTTTGTCCTATATATCTCTGGCCACACTCAATCTATTGATTGACATGTTTCACTTGATACATGCTTCAAATGAGCCAGATGTTCTTCAAACCTAGTAACATTAATTCTTCTTGTTTGTCCTATATATGTTTGGCCACAGTCAATTTATTGATTGAAATGTTTTACTTGATACAAGCTTAAAATGAGCCACGTGTTCTTCAAACCTAGTAACATTAATTCTTCTTGTTTGTCCTATGTTTGGCCACACTCAATCTGTAACTTTGTTACTGTCTCCACCAAAAGTATCAATCAGAAGCACTGATTATTGTGAAAACCTGCATTTATGCTCGATGAGACACAAATTAAACACAACAGGATCTACAGGGTGGATGGGAGCATTACAAATTGAGATTGTTCAATAAATTATGTGGTACTTTCATTATTACGTTACATTTCGCCCATGAATCTTCATTTTAAGTGTAATACTCGAACTGAAGAATAATGTAACCTACAAGCTTAAAATATGTTATATGTTCCTTGAACCTAATAACATGAATTTTTCTTGTTTGTCCTATATGTTTTGCCACACTCATTCCGTAACTTTGTTCCATTTGTCACCAAAATTATTCCACAAAAGCACCGATTGTTGTGGAAACCTGTTTTCATATTCAATGAGACACAAATTAATCACATCAGCAGAATCTACAGGGTGGGTGGAAGCATTACAAATTGAGAATGTTAAATGAATTATTTGGTACTTTTATTATGTTACATTTCTCTCATGAATCTCCATTTTGTTTATATTGAAACATTTTAGGGGTGTAATACTCGAGCTGAAGATCGTTAAAATATTATTTTTCCATGGTCTTGTTCAATTTCAATCTATATGCTTCAAATGTGTTTGGTGTTCCTTAAACCTAGTAACATCAATTCTCCTCGTTTGTCCTACAAATGTTTCGTCTATGTTTCGTCACACATCGAGATATACGCCAAGAAAAATTACAGGCTATAAAAATAGTCAAATAGGGAGTGGTGCTCTAAATAGTTTGCTGCATTTATAGATGGTACATTTTCCAGAAAGGATTGTTTGTGGTTTGTAGATCAACGATCCACGAAAACATCCTGGGGTATTCGAACCAAGAAAAAGACAACACAGAAAAATAACGCCAGAAGAACTCATGAAGTACCGAATCGTGGTGACCACTCTCATAGTGATAGGTCTATGGTCTAATCCAACTGTTGAAAATGTTCCACTTGATCAATGTTATCTATATGCTTCAAATGTGTTTGGTGTTCCTCAAACCTAATAATATTAATTCTTTTCGTTTGTCATACATATGTTTCGTCACACATCGAGATATAGTTCAAGAAAAATTACAGGTTATCAAAAAAAGGCAAAAGGGGGAGTGGTGCTCTAAATATTTTGCTACATTTGTAGAGGGTACATTTTCCAAAAGGCTTGTTTGTGGTTTGTAGGTCAACGATCCACGAAAACATTCTGGGGTATTCGAACCACGGAAAAGACAACACACAAAAATAACGCCAGAAGAACTGATGAAGCACCGAATCGTAGTGAACACTCTCATACTGATAGGTCCATGATCTGATCCAACTGTTGAAAATGTTGCACTTGATTAATCTAATCTAAATGCTTCAAATGTGTTTGGTGTTCCTCAAACCTAGTAACATTAATTCTTCTCGTTTGTCCCATATATGTTTCGTCACACATCGAGATATACTTCAAGAAAAATTACAGGCTATAAAAAATAGTCAAATAGGGAGTGGTGTTCTAAATATTTTGATGCATTTATAGATGGTACATTTTCCAGAAAGGATTGTTTGTGGTTTGTAGGTCAACGATCCACGATAACATCCTGGAATATTCGAACCACGAAAAAGACAACACCGTAAGAAAGATAACGCCTGACGAACTGATGCATTACCGAATCGTGGTGACCACTCTCATACTGATAGGCCGTTACAGCAGGAAATATCACCCGGACGTTCTTTTCGTCGACGAGGCTGCTCAAGCTTGTGAACCTGAGGTGGCTTGTGCGATAGGGATGCTGGAGAAGGGGAGCCAGGTCGTTTTGGCGGGAGATCCTAGACAACTTGGTCCTTCTTTGTCGTCCAATGTCGCTAAAAGATATAATTTGGGTTAGTGGTGGGCAGATGAGGGCTTACATTATTTATTGCCCACCAAAACACGCCACTGAAACTTGAGGTCAGAGTTGGTAGAACCACAGTATTTTATCCTTTCACGAGACAGTAGATTCAGTTGGCGCAGGGACCTTTGATCTTTGTGGCAGACATTTTTTCGGTCACTCTACTTTCATTATCATTATATTATCAAAATATCAATAGATTTATCCGAAAATTGAGTTAGCAAAACAATGACGGAATTTCAAAATCGGACAAATACTGCACCGATACAATTCCAACAACAATACAACGAAATTTACAACTGCAATAACTATATCACTCATTCGATATTCACTCTCATACTGATAGGTCCATGGTCTAATCCAACTGTTGAAAGTGTTCCACTCAATTAATGCAATCTATATGCTTCAAATGTGTTTGGTGTTCCTCAAACCTAGTAACATTAATTCTTCTCGTTTGTCCACTAACACTTTTGCACTCGGGAGCATGACAATGATGAGACAGTTGGAATAATCACAGAGATCAAACAAATACTGCACCGATACAATTCCAATACCAATACAACGAAATTCACAACTGCAATAACTATATCACTCATTCGATATTCACTCTCATACTGATAGGTCCATGGTCTAATCCAACTGTTGAAAATGTTCCACTTGATTAATGTAATCTATATGCTTCAAATGTGTTTGGTGTTCCTCAAACCTAGTAACATTAATTCTTCTCGTTTGTCCACTAACATTTTTGCACTCGGTAGCATGACAATGATGAGACAGTTGGAATAATCACAGAGATCAAACAAATACTGCACTGATACAATTCCAACAACAATACAACGAAATTCACAACTGCAATAACTATATCACTCATTCGATATTCACTCAATGCTAATCAAATTCTATTTTGTGTATTCCTTTCATTCAAAACCAGGTATCTACAATATTATCGACAATGGATCAATGGATCACCAGAAACCGGGCCATTTGAATCAAATTATTATATGATCATTGAAAATAGGTAACTAGGTAAACATAACAAAACCCTCAAATAGATTATTGGGTTTGGACAAAACAGGTAAATCCATGTTGATGCGTATTTCCATATTTATTTTTCAAGCTCAGTAGGTACCTTTATTAATATTCGTTTATAATCATTTTCTGATTACAAACCTAGGTTATCTATTTGATTAGGAGCGATTAAGTATTTCTTAGGATTCATGCATAAATCAATGTTTCATTCACTACGACCCGCCACTTACGATATTTTTGGGACACCATGTAAATATGCTGCCGAGTTTCAATGCAGAAGTGGGGACGCGAAATTTCTGTGGGAGTGAGCCTAATGTCTCGTGATAGGATAATACAGTGTGTCCCACGTACCATGCTCACCATGGGTATCTTTTTAACGGTGAGAGATACGAGGTCGGTTAAATGACACCAAATGTGGAGTTTGTCAAGGCCAACTATAATGTGAAAAAATATTTTGATAAAATCTATTCGTTTTTGTTTTATACGCAAAAAACGCAAAAACAATCATGATCTCAGACCTCAAAAAAACCCAATTACCAATTTTGAATGGAATCGAATCAAATCTTGTCCGCCATCTTGGAGCAGCCATTTTTTTTAATTTCAATGACGATAACTCCGATTTTATCAACACAAAACTATTACTGCGACATATCATCTGAAAGAGAAAAAAAAGTTATTTGTAACTAAGTCATAGTGAACTATGACCTACATTTGAAAAACTAAAGTTGGTGCTGATATCTCAAATTCTAGAAGAGTTGGTATAAATTCCATATTTTTTTCGAAATCACTTTCAAAAACTGCCATGAGAATGTGAAATTCCTATTTGAATATTTTCATAAATAAAGAAGTTACGGAGGAGACATGAAAATGATCAAAATCTGTTTTTTGCGTATAAAACAAAAACGAATAGATTTTATCAAAATATTTTTTCTTATTATAGTTGGCCTTGACATTTGGTGTCATTTAACCGACCTCGTATCTCTCACCGTTAAAAAGATACCCATGGTGAGCATGGTAAGTGGGACACACTGTATACTGTGGAAGAACTGATAAATATAGTTTTTCTTTTCGTCCTACGATATCTTCTTCTCTGTCAATGCAAGAATTGGTCGTAAAGGTCCACATTGAGAGTAAAAGAAAAACGTAAGTCGGCTCAAGTATCTTGATGACTTGAGGTTTTCTATATTGTGTTCAAATATTCTACATCATTTTTTTAGGATATTGTCGAAAAAACTGAGCCTTTAGGGCTATCCGGCAAAGTTTTGGGATTTTTTACACTCACCTCACGTTTTAGTAGCGCTAACTGGTGAGAGTCAGTTTGATTGTGATAACGTCGTAAGATTTCCACAATATTATCACAATAGGCAAGAACAGAATAGACGAGTGGATTTTTTTTTTCTCGAATAGAATCGTTATTTAATTACCTATCAATTCGGTATTCTTTTAGTTTTTTTTCGGACGATTTTAAAGTGCTAAAATCATCAATATGGCCACTGTAATGACCGCAAATGGAATAGAATATATTTTTTAATGATGATTATATTAAATCCCATTCAGAGAACATTTGATGGGGTAAACGTGACAACACAGGATTGTGGGCGTTGTCTTGTCAGTTCTAAGCGTTCAGCACAGCATTGCCAAGCCTCTAGCCTATCCAAAATTTACGTGATGTGTAGTTGTGGAGTATAAGAAACTAGCTGGTTGCTCGTAACAGTCACAAATTAATAACTATAATATCATTGCTTCTTCCTGTTTGGCCAAATGGAATATACGATTTGAATATAGTTCTATCCAATGACAGGGCTCTAACAACTTTTTAATAACTTGACTATAATTGGTGACTTGACAACCCTGCTTGATAAGTGGAAATGGAAGATTATCTGCATAAGCATAAGCATAACAACTTCCAACAACGCATAGACTCGTCATTCAAAATTGAAGTGAAGTAGTTTTTTTGATATAACGTACTGAATTACTTCAAAAAACACCATTTGCCATCTCTAGTAATGACGTCATACTCCTTTTTCCTGAGTTGCCAGGTATTTTATTTCAACAGAAAATTAAGTCAATATTTCTCATAATTTCAAAAATATTCTCTATGCTTTTTCTCATCTTCATGAATTATTAGGAGTATGTTGAGTTTATTGGAATATCACGCCAAATATCACCTGAAGAAACTACTGCGTTAGCAAAACTTTCTATTGATAATTTTGTGGAAATCTTATCATATTTCAAGTTTTCAAATTGATTAAAAATGCGATTTCTCTAAATTTCGCAGGCATCTCTCTCTTGGAGAGGTTGATGGACTTGGACCTGTACAAAACCCAAGACCCGAACTATATCACGATGCTGAGGCAAAATTTCAGATCTAACAGCACGATTCTGCAGCTCCCGAACAAACTTTTTTACGCGGGACAGCTGCAAGTAACTATTCGACTATTATTATTATCATTGTTGCTGTTAGTAACAATAGTAGTGCCTCTATGACAGTACGGGACGACCTCCATTTTCATTCTTAACTGAAACACCTGCTTGACACTACTACAAAACGTCGATAAGTTTCGAAAAAATATGAAAAAACGTCATGAAAGTGTCACGTATACGTCGAAACGTCAAAGAGCGTCCAAAAATGTGAAAAAACTTTACATTATTACGTATTGGATCTTTCTTTTATTTGATTCAGACCAGGGAAGAGTCCCTCTTATCCTGATATCTATCATGAAGCAAAAAAAAACAAAACAAAATGAAAACGTTATTGAAGTTTGATGCGAACAGCCCTTCTGCCCCAAATAAGTTTCAGAAATACATCCTGAGAATTGGAAGAGATCGAACGGAACAAATAAATATCAAAAACTGTACAGGGTGTAGAATCCATCCAACTCCCGAAGTCACTTGAAATCATGCACTATACAAAGCATCGCTGGCAGGATGGTACTATATATAGGGTGTTTCAAAAAACATAATCCCCTTGCTAGGGTAGATAAAACATTGCAAAATAAGTTGGGCAAGATACAAGGTGTTGAAAACATATTTTCTTTACACATTTTTACGATTATGTTGAAACTACTGGCAACATTGTAATGAAATTTTGTATGGATGTTTTTTGGAAGCTGACACATCGCATGAATTTGTTTTAATATCTGACACTTATAGAGGGCGCTAGTTACACGGTTCGTACCGAGTACTTTCAAACATAACTTTTTTTAGGTTAGATTTTTAACTCAAAATTCAATGTGAACTTACAATAAGAAGGTTCCCTTGGTCAAACTTGATACTGTATACCGTTTTCGGGATATTTCGATTTGAAAATGCTGAAGTAATACACTGATGCTAGTTGTAAGTATGTAAGTATTATAAAAGACAGTTACCTATTTATTGATAACCACGTCAAGAGCTGCAAGAAAGAATTGAACATCACTTCAATGATCTCAGCTGATCTCCAACCGTTGGGAAGATTGATGCATTCTTTAGAAAAAAGGATCGAATTGTGTATTCGTGAAAACGGAGGTCATTTTGGACACTTACTCTATCTAGATGATGTTTTGAGTCAAATTTAATTGAATATTTTTTGTTGTGATTTTGTTTAATCGATAACTTCAGCAGTGAAATAATGTTAATGTTTTTTGTCCTCAATAAATAAATAATTGTTTTTTATAATACTTATTCTAATACCAGAATCAGAGTTATTGCTTCAGCATTTTCAAATCGGAATATTTCGAAAACGGTACACAGTATCGAGTTTCACCAAGAGCATCGTTTTGGTGTAAAATTGAATGGTGTTCAAGTTCACATTGAATTTTGACTGAAAAATCCAACCTCAAAAAAGTTATGTTCAAAAGTACTCTGTACGAACAGTGTAACTAGCGCCCTCTATGAGTGTCAGATATATAAATAAATTCATGCGGTGTTTCAGCTTTCAGAACACATCCATATAGAATTTCATCACAATGTTGCCAGTAGTTTCGACATAATAGTAAATGTGTAAAAAACATATTTTTTCAACACCTTGTATCTTGAAAACGGATGCCGTTACGACATTTTTTCACTGAGCAAACCCAACTTATTTTGCAATATTCTACCTACCCTAGCGAGGGGGTTAGGTTTTTTTGAAACACCGTGTATACAGTCTCCATATTTAACTGTTCGTCCTCTGGCATTGTCGTTTCTTTCCTGGTGTGTGATGAGAACTCGACCTCCCTGCCGATTGATCGACGGATGTCCCGTTAGCTCAGTTTTTTCATTTTCCATTGTCACTCGAAATTTCCATCTTCATCATTATTAAAGGAAAACACTGTATAATCCTGTTGTTTCAACTTTTCACGTTTCGACGCATGCATGATGTTTTTTCGATCCTTTCGTCGTTTGGAAGTATGCGTGACGGTATCTTGACGTGTTCGTGACGTTTTGTAGTGTTGGGTTAGGCCGGTGTTCCAGTTAAGAATAACGCATGGGTGAGATAGAGGTCGATTGCTCCAGTGCTGTCACAGATGCACTACTAACAATGGATGATCTCCAATACATTGAAAACATTTTCAGGCTCTTTCAGCCAAAGCGGAAAACGACCCGTTGGCTAAGGTGTGCGTCTACGAAAAAATTCAAGGAAAATTAAACAAGAAAAAGAATAAGAAGCGACCAGGGGAAGCCATCGAGTTTTGTAACGTGCTCTCAAAAGAGTCCAGACAAGGGCGGTCACCTAGGTAATAGTCAATCAACAATTTAATTAAGAATCCAAGAAGCTGATCCGCTTTCAAAGATTCTTGATTTATTTGTTAATAATTCTTAGTTTAGTTAAGTATTGAATTCCACTGTAATGATTTATGAATGATATCACTAATATTCTTTCGTTCTGAAACAACTGAAATATATCTCTAGCACCCTTCATTATTTACACTAACAAGATGAACCATCTTTATGAGGCAATGAAGCCACAAATTCTGTTCGGTAGGAGGTGGTATCTATGAGCGACAAGATGAAATACTTTTTGTTGAGTAGTGAAGTGTAGAGATCGGTAAAGTAGAAAAATATCCCAGGCATTTTTACGTCACTTGAATGACCAAGGTGACGTCAGTAGTTGACGTCGCATTGACGTGATAATGACGTGAATACGTCACAGCCCAATGACGTCATATTACTCACGTCGTATTGACGTCATTCACTCACCAAACTGTGACGTCCGACTGACGTCATAATGACGTTAAAATGACGATTGAATTTGGCGATGATACGTAAAAAAGATTCTTTTAACATGGTGTGATTAACACCACTAGCCTCTGATGACATTATATAATATTGATTATGCATTGTTGAGTCTGCTTGGTGGGTCTCTCCTGTGTCATGTTCATTCAATCGCCTATTCAGCAGTGTCATCCTTCAGTATGCATCTCCATCAGAATGCAATCAGTTACTCGTATTTGTATAAAAAATTATGTAGTTTGTGTCGGCGAGATGTAAGCAAATAAAGAATAGTTTGATAGCAATGGAAAGGATGTTGGCGAATTTGGCTTCACTTTGTTGAATAATGTATATTGATGCATTCTTTGTCACCCAACAAGAATCTATATAGTGAATTATTGAAAAATTTCCTAAATGACGAAGCTCACCAAATTGGTACGTCACACCGACGTGATTTTTAGACGACATAGATACGTCACTGCAACGTCATAAGAGTAACGGTTTCAACATGGGCATACCTAAACAATCATTCTTATATATACATAGCTTGTTGGTTTCCGAGATATACAGCTTGTGTCAAAGTTTCTTAGAAAGAAGTTTTTCTACTACTTTTCGGGTATATGAATATTTCGAATAAAACTTGCATGTTGATTCGCTTTCATGAGTAATACTTGGGTTTCACGTGATAATATATAAGTATCCATGGTTTAGAGAAGGTCTGGGAAAAATGGACGTCGACAGGACGTCCCTGCAACGTCATGAAACTGACGTCTTCTTTTACCCATCTAAGTGACGTTCACTCGACGTCGAAACGATGACGTGATTATCACGTCATAGAAAGTACGTCATTGTGACGTCTCTGACGAAAAATCACCAATTAGGGACGTCACAGTGACGTGATCATTCGTCATCTGGTTGCCTGGGATATTCGAAGTTTATTTTCAGATCTTTTATGCAAGAAGGAATGTCGCATCAGGGCCAACATTAGATTACCAGGCAGATGCTCTGCCTTTTACCCCACAGAACACTTATTGATATATCAGTGTAGGTACAATAAAAGATTATGTGCGAATGTCGATTGATGCTTCACATTGATACTTTCATAGAATTAGATGATCACGGCATAGGATTAATAGATGTTTTGTGATTAGGTACGGCCAGTAAAACATGAATTGTAAGAATTGTATTATGTCCATGTTTGCAAAGTTTATTTATGAATAGATATCAGAGATCGAGGGTTGAAATTATACACTATGATTTCAATTATTATCATTTCACAATGTATTCAATCCCGTCCCACAAACAGTCGATAACGTCCAGAGTTGGACGTACCCAGTACATCGGAATCGTACGTCTAAAAATGGACGTTTTTAGTACGTCTTGAAAAGGTCCAGGACGTTCAGACCTAAATCGGACCAATAATGGACGTTTCCAGGACGTCGATTGCTATATGGGAAAATTGCTTCCTATAGAGATGATATAGACTTTTAGAATTCTGGTCACACTTGTCGGTGCTTTTTCAGCTATTACAATCAGAAGGAAATGTTGTGGGTATTGAAGTACATCCAGACTCTCACTACCCTTCAATTCCAAGATGAAGATGACAAAGTCCTTCCCGAACAAATAGGAGTAGTTACGCCTTACATCAGACAGGTAAGCTTTCTTCCAACATTCCAGTTGAGATTACGAGATCTTTTTATTTACTAGGGCTCGACGAAAGGAAATCCTTATTATGTTCGTGGGACATTGAAAGAATTCCAAAGCTTTGCTGTTGTACACTATCTACAGGGTGTTTATTGAAGGTTTTTACAAAAAACTTAGCTCAGTACAACAAGTAAAAGTAACAATTTTCAAATCGGATTTGCTTCATAACTTTGAAACTGCTCATGAGGTTCCACTCAAATTTGGTACGATGGCATGATTGTATTGGGCATTAAAACCCACACAATGATAGTATATTATGTAACAAGTATTATAAACGTTATTTTAGCAACGAGTATTTTAAGCACGAGCGGAGCGAGTTTATAAACGCGTTACATACTATACTTTTTCCACGAACTCATAATTCCTCTCTTCGACAAGATTCTATAATTCCGAAAATTAGATCAACCTACCTTCTAACCAACCTACAAAGTAATTCGGAGGGAATGGGAAATAATCGATATGATACATGATGGCTTCTTTACTGACCTTTGTGAATAAGATTTAATCTGACGTATTGTAGATAAAAACTTCTCGGTTCGTTGAGGTGTCAAAAATTTCAATTTCTCAGGTTTGTATCCATATTCTGATTGCATAATTATGCTCATATGAATATTGTGATTCACGTTTATTGTTATGCTCAGCATAGAATGAATTGCCCACAAATATGAGAGCTTCATTTTCACCTTGAGTTCTTGGAAATATGCAAGTATCTACCTAAAACATTTTCTTCGATTTCACTTTCGTCTACATTTTGCATACATTTTTTAATGAGGAAGTTGAGAGTTGTAATAATCGTACAGCGAAGCGGGAAGATTTATTTTGATGTAAATTGTGAATTGTTGATTGTTCAATAATCTGAAGCTCGCAACACAATTTCTAAGTGCTTTCAAGTGCTTGTGTGAAATTTTGTAATTTTTTAAATTTTGGTTTTGGTTAAAAATCAAACAGTAGGTTTCACGCCTAAAACAGTAGAACGAAATAGTAGATCTACTCTGTTAAACCAGTAGGCCTGGCAACACTGCTGAAGGTGCAGGTGCCGCCGACACAGACATATAGGTATGCAAAGGTACGCTCGTGACGCGAGTCTGGTCGTTTTAATGTCAGCGTGGATTCGCCTTTTGACCATGAAAGGAGCTAGACACATGGCGTCTCCAGGTCAAAAGTCAGGTTAATGTGTGTGCAAGTCTAACATTTTTCTAATTACCTGATCTGGATTGAAATCCAATATTCATTGTGAAGTTTAATGAGTGTATGTGAAAATTATCAGGCCTTCTGATCTCTTATCTCTACGCCAGTATACAGGGTGTTTCGAAATTCGACCGACAACACTTCACAGATGGTATCTCTCGTGATTTGATGAATAATGAGGTAGGAACATAAAGGTCTAACGTGCTTAGTTATCGAGATACAGGGTGTTGAAACTGAGAAATAAAAATAGTTTTTCCCCAATATCTCAAAAACAGCTGATTTTTTTGCATTCAAATTCGATGAGCGAATCAAACTTCAGAATCTTAATTTCTAGACGTCGGATTCATATTTGACAATTCTTCCAGTGGCGCCATTAAGGGGGTATGATTGCATGATTTTCCAAAAAAACATGTGTTGCGATATGAATTTTGAAAATTTTATATGATTATATCAAAGACCATTCAATTTTGAATTGAAAATGCATACTTGATGGATCTCGATAGAACCCACCATTTCCGAGAAAAAACGAAAAATGTAAATAGTCTTCCAATTACTTCATTTCAAATCGATCAATCAAATGAGGAAAATTCACCCAAAAAACCACAACAGTATTGAAAAAACTCTTGATACGTATTTCGGCAACTAAATTGCCATCCTCAGAAGTCCTGAAAAGTAAAAAATAGTTCGCTGACTGAGATATTCTGCGAAAATAACCTGTGAGACTGAGGACTACTAAGGATGTCTACTTAGTTTCCGAAATACTTATTTATAGTTTTTTCAATATTGTTGTGGTTTTTTGGGTGAATTTTCTTTATCTGATTGATCGATTGGGAATGAAGTGATTGGAATACTATTTACATTTTTCGTTTTTTCTCGAAAATGGTGGGTTCTATCGAGATCCATCAAGTATGCATTTTCAATTCAAAATTGAATGGTCTTTGATATAATCATATAAAATTTCCAAAATTCATATCGCAACACATGTTTTTTTGGAAAATCATGCAATCATACCCCCTTAATGGCGCCACTGGATCAATTGTCAAATATGAATTCGACGTCTGGAAATGGAGATTCTCAATTTTAATTTGCTCATCGAATTTTAATGAAAAAAAATCAGCCGTTTTTGAGATATTGCGAAAAAACTATTTTTATTTCTCAACTTTAACACCCTGTATCTCGATAACTAAGCACGTCAGAGCCTTATGTTCCTGCCTCATTATTTATTAAATCACGAGAGCTACCACCTGTGAAGCGTTGTCGGTCGAATTTCGAAACACCCTGTAGAGGCCGGATGATGACGGATTCATCGGGTAAAGGGGCCATACTTGAAATCAAACGTGCTCCAGTAGGAGCACATATAATAGAATCTTGAACATTGATGAACTCGGCTTCCGGGCATGGTGACGGTGGTGACTACGGTGTCTTTAGTGCTCGAGTCGAGAGATAATATTATTATATAACCATAATATACAGTGTGTCCCGCTTTTTATAAATACACCCTGATATCTCAGTTAATGGTGCGATTCTCTTGAAATTTTTGTAGTGATTGTATGTAAGAATAAGGATGTATTTAGCAGAATGAACAGTTTCATTCACCATTAGCGTGCGATGTTGAGGGTACAAAAAAGGCCTTTATTTGGGAAAAGGATATTAGGACTCATTTGAAATAACTTTTTTTATCAGATTCATAATCAGCATCCCCAAAAACTCATTCATATTTTCAAGATCCCAAGAGCTAAAATAAAATATTTCAAAATCCCTTGAATCTCAGTTCAACGATGTGATTTTGTACCCCTCAACATTGCACGCCAATGGTGAATGAAACTTTTCACTCTGCTAAATACTTCATCGTTCCAAGATACAATGTGTGTATTCATGAAAAGCGGGACACACTGTATAATTCTTGAAAAAATTTATTACCTGATCTGGAGAAATTGTTACCGAAAGGAGACAGAACAGAAAGTGCCTAACAAGCCTATAGAAGTTATCACCTCAACAATACAAAAACTGCCACCTTTCAAAAACGAATTTTCAGGTGTGCAAAGTCAGAGACATCCTGCGGCAAAACAACTTCGAGGGAGTGGAAGTCGGCACCACCGAAACGTTTCAAGGTCGCGAGAAGCGCGTCATTCTGATCACCACCGTGAGGGCGCAGAAAGATTTGCTGTTGTACGACAGAAAGTACAATCTCGGATTCGTGCGTAACGAAAAGGTATGTCGAAATAGTTATTTACCTAACAAGTGCCGAAAGTAGTACTTCTCCGCACGCGACGGCAGTTGCACGAACGAGGCGGAGCGGAGTTCGGGCAAGTCGTCAAGGGCGGAAAAGACATTTTCTGCAAGAGTTAGGTACAAGCTTTTTCCTGCTAGTGTTTTTGTCCATATTATTTATGAAAAAAAAAAGTTTTCAATAAACCATATTGTATATTGATGCTACAAAATGACACATAAGACAGAATAATTACATGGATCATTTAGTTAGTCCTTAATATGCTTATTTTCAGCAATACAAAAATCGTGCGGAAATAGTTATTTTCCTAACAAGTGCGCAAAGTGTTACTTTTTCGCACGCAAATACAGTTATGCGAACGACGAGGAGCGGAAGTCGAATAAGTTTTTGCGTGCGGAAAAGACACTTTGCTAACTTGTTAGGAACATCGTTCTTTCTACGAGCTTCATATCAGATAAAAAGGAAAATAAAAAAAATTATAACTTACTGAAAAATGTAACTATACAACAATCACATATAACAATAAAATATAATAATAGAAAATCACATTTTCCCTACGAGCTTCATATCAGATAACGAAAATAAAAAAATTTCAACTCAAATTACAATTTATTGAATAATTTTTAGTTAAAATAAATAGAAATAGCTGAACAACAAACAATTACATATCAATAAATCATTTTTTCCTAATATTTATATTGAGGTGAAATAAAACTATCGGGAAGAACGGTTGAAAAGTGAAAAGGATAACAGCTTCTTATAGTGCATACAATAGTCTACTACTAAAACTAAAATGAATATAAATGTTCCATACCAGTGAGATTTTTGGGTAGTTTTCACCCATATCCGCACTGAGTGCGGAAAAGTATTACTTTCCGCACGCAAATGAGTGCGGAAAGTACTACTTTGCGCACGCTCGTAAGAAAAATATATTTTTTCTAATTTTTCCATGATTTTCGCCAATTACGTATCCTCAAAAGAAAAACAAGCTACACAAAGTCGGTCGACCACACTTTATATAAAAATCTTCAGTGAAAAAATACCGGTTTCGGCAATACGGCCATCATCAGACATTGGTACCTAAAAAAGTTTGTGACACTAATGAGGACAACAATTTTTTCATAAAAACATACCAAACAATATAGGACCCAACATATAAATCAATGAATCATGGTTCCATACGAAATGATTTTCGTCAAGGGGTTAGCAGAATCGGGAACATTTGTAGCTCTTTTCAAATTTACTGAAGATATAGAAAAAACTGGCTCTGATAAAGTTGAACATCTTATCAAAAAATCGAGAAATGTTTTTTATACAATCATCAGTATGTCATCAGTTCTAAAAGGAGCTGTAATTGTAAAAATGATAATTTTGCACTTTCATGCGATGATTTTTTTTTTCGAAAATTTTCTTTGGCATTTACGTATTTTTGTCTGAAAAACACGAATTTGATAATGAAAATGTGAACAAACCACTATTTATCGAGATATTTCAAGAAAAAGTTGGAAATTTTGCCTTCTTTTCCCCCTTGTGTTGGATGCATTTACAGGTACTTGCTCTTATTATTTTGTCATTGGACAATTTCAAGCTAGAAAATTCAACAGGAAATATGATTTTTATGGCGAGTTTTTCCTATTTAGTGAGCAAGCATACCAGATGACGGCCATTTAATCCATATGCAATCCAAATACTAGATGTCAAATGTCAATAGATTGCTTTGGAATGACATTACACACGCCATTATTTCAAATGATATTCTTCCTTCTTTTCACTAAACATGGATAAATCACAAGAAAATCATATTTCTAGTTGACTAATATAATAAAAAAAATGTGTCCAACATTGTGTGATATATATAAATTGTCCAATGATGGAAAAAGAAGGGCAAATTGTTCTAAATGTGATCCAGAAGACAGGCGGAAAAGATGGTGAAATTTGTAACTTTATAGTGAAATATCTCAATAAATAATGGTTTGTTCACATTTTCATTATCAAATTCGTGTTTTTCAGACAAAAATACGTAAGTACCAAAAAAATTTTTCGAAAAAAAACCATCGCATGATAAGTGCAAAATTACCGTAAAAATTAATGACACTTATGAAAGAGGACTATGACTTTGACGTTGGACACGAAACAGAAAATTGATGAGTGACATGTGCTAAACTGACACAATAGAGAACTTGAGGCAAGTAACATCAAGAAAGAAAAGTGGTGAGAAGAAGAGAGCTAGGCATATAGGAAACAGATCAAAGAAGAAGAATAGAAAAATAAAAATGTTCGATTGTCACTGCTTGTCTATACCTTTTCAACTTCAATTTCGGAATCGGTAAGTTATATTTCGGAAAAAGTAATCTCGATTTCAGAATTGGTTAGTTCGATTTCAGAAATGGTAAACTCAGTTTCAGAATCGGTGAGGTGAATTTCAGAAAAAGTCCATTCAATTTCAGAAATGGTAAGTTGTATTTCAGAATTGGTTGGTTCAATATCATAAAAAAAATCCTTATATTTGTTCGAAATGTTTCCAATTGCATGTGAGATTAACAAACCATATTTAAAATATTCAACTTTTCGAAAACAATTTAATCCACAGATGCCTTCCATCTGAATCGCTGGAAGATAGTGGCGTTGCACATGATTATAAGAATGCAAACAAATTTGAGGTGTTATCATTTTCATTGAATGATCTGCACATTCTCCAAGACATCGCAGTCTGAATTCTATCTGGTTGAGCAATCTGTTCGGATCTCCAGCTATGACCCTTCGGCGATGCTCTTGCAAGAAGCTCTTCACTTCTGACTTGAAGGCACCCCATATATGTTCAATCTGATTCAACATAGGGCTCTCAAACACCGTTCCATCCACTGTAAACAATCTTCTCTTTTGCAATTAAAAACATTTCAAACATATAAAAGGATTTCATCTTCTGAAATTGAACCTACCAATAATAATTCTGAAATACAACTTACTATTTCTGAAATTGAATGGACTTTTTCTGAAATTCATCTCACCGATTCTGAAATTGAGTTTACCATTTCTGAAATCGAACTAACCAATTCTGAAATCGAGATTACTTTTTCCGAAATATAACTCACCCATTCCGATATTGAAGTTGAAAAGGTATAGTGTCCGTACTCTAATATACAAAAAACGTCAAAACAGCAGTGTCAAGTACATTTAGGAACTCTATCCTATTGCTCTTATGAGCTCTTTAATGGATGAATAAAAACTAAACTAAACTAAACCTTTTCAACTTCAATTTCGGAATCGGTAAGTTATATTTCGGAAAAAGTAATCTCGATTTCAGAATTGGTTAATTCGATTTCAGAAATGGTAAACTCAATTTCAGAATCGGTGAGATGAATTTCAGAAAAAGTCCATTCAATTTCAGAAATGGTCAGTTGTATTTCAGAATTGGTAGGTTCAATTTCAGAAAACAAATATTTCTTTTTGTTTGAAATGTTTTGAATTGCATGTGAAATCAAAAAACTATATTTACAATATTTAACTTTTCAAAAACAATTTAATAACATAATTATAATCTCAACTTAATCCACAGACATGTCTTCCATCCGAGTCGAAGAAGGATAGTGACGTTGCACATGATTATAAGAATGCGAACACATTTGAGGTGTTATCATTCTCATTGAATGTTCTGCACATTCTTAAAGGCATTCCCGGCTATAACCCTTTGGCGATGCTCTTGCAAAAAGTTCTCACTTTTGACTTGAAGACACCCATATATCTTCAATCGGGTTCAACAAAGGGCTGTAAGGTGCCAATCTGCGAAATATAACATCTCGAAATTCTTCCTCCATGCATATCTCTTCTATTCTTGAATGTGCAGGTGCATTATCCAGAATTACCACTATGGTATCTGCAGGATGCCCATTTTAAACGTACACTCTCAAACACCGTTTCATCTACTGTAAACAATCTTCTCTTTTGCAATTAAAAACATTCCAAACAGATATAAGGATTCATTATCTGAAATTGAACTTACCAATTCTGAAATACAACTTACCATTTCTGAAATTGAATGGACATTTTCTGAAATTCATCTCACCGATTCTGAAATTACCATTTCTGAAATCGAACTAACCAATTCTGAAATCGAGATTACTTTTTCCGAAATATAACTTACCGATTCCGAAATTGAAGTTGAAAAGGTATAGTATTAGTTAGATAAACATTGATATATTGCTTCAGAGGTTCAACGTGGCCATCACCAGGGCCATGAGCAAGCTTATAGTGATTGGCTGCGCCCATGTGCTCGGCACCGACGACAATTGGTCCGGCTACATGGAGCTGTGCGCGAGTCTGGGCACGTTTTACGGCGCGCCCTACGCTAGGCGCACCGATGACGTCATCGATGACATCACCAACCGGTTCAGTAACATCAAAATGCGCGATTCTCAGCTGAATCATTGACGGTGAAATGTGTTAGCGAAAGACATTTAAACACAGAGAGAGACAGAATGTTTCATTAATAAAACGCTCTTGAAGCCGATCTGTTATTGCTCAGATGTATGCGAGAGAGACACTGCACGACTGGCAACAATGCATGTTTCATGATATCAACATACTATGACATAACCTTACCTACTTACCGGTGGAAAGTCAAATTTGTACTCAAATGATTCACCCATTTGAATACAATACAAGAATGCAGCATGAATCACAAAGTATTGTTCACAAAAGTCACAAAAAAGTGAGAAGGCCAAAATTACACTATTCAATCAAGTAGAAACACTAACAAGCCAGTGGCGATTTGGCAACATCGCAATATAAGTCATTTATCAAGAGTAGTGGGGTGGTAGGGGGATTACAACAAAACTATGGTATGGGGTTATTCAAAACGGCCTATTTGTTATAATTTTTTTTCTAATGGGTCGCGTTTTCCAAAAAAAAAACTTAATAACTTTTGAACCATCAATAATTTGATAACCACATTTACCGTTAGTTTGATCGCAAATGCCCTATATAGACCTATTCAGAAGACGTACATTTCCTAGAAGAATTTTACACTCGCGACGTTGCTGAAAGTGCTGGTTTTGTCTGGTGGAATGTGATTACGTCGGGTTGATCTCATTGAAAGGAACATTTTAGATTCAATAAAACTATGATTCATAGAATAGGAATGATATGATGATAAGGAACAATTATGCTTAAGAAAAGTAATCATTGTTTCATGTCGAATCATTCAACCCATTGCAAAACTTCATTACATAATCAAAAAATCGTACAGTCTAGTTAAGACTAGCAAATATGCAATTGAAGGGACAAAGATGGTGTTACTGATAAATAATAAAGATACTCTGTATTCATGTTATGGTATCCAAGAAAATAATTTTTAACAATCTGATGTTTCCATCTGAAATGAGTATTGTAAAGATTTTTATGAATGTATCATTCTATCGAAAATAATAGTATTCAATTCATTGCAATTGATGAAGTGGTCCTTCGAGGCGGATAGAATAACGCGATATATTCACAAAACTCATTACAGTACTTAGTTCAGATAGAAACATCAGATCGTTAAGAATTATTATCTTGAAAACCATAACATGAATACAGAGTATATTCATTATTCGATCGAACGATGACTGATCGGGCAAAAACGTAAATAATTAGGCCTCTTGTGTTTAAATGTCTTTGATTTTAGCGCTTAGAAGGAAAAAACTGTTTTTTAACGTCTCGATAACTGTTTTCCTGACTGGCTTAGCATCTGCAGGGAGGAGACTGACGCTCTGAAATTCTACTTATTTCCGAGCTTGAGCTGATATGAACTAGGTTCGCAATTTTGCAGTCCAATTCAAAGTCTTTGATGCTCTGTTTTCTGATTGTGGCTGAACATTTTCCGCAAACGTAAACAATGTTCTTTGAACCTAGTATTAGTGGGCCTTCTAGTTTTACCTACATATGTTTTTCCGCAATCGTCACAACAGATAATTTCGTAAATCCCTGAATTTTTCGTCAGATGAAGCACCTTTTCAATACAGAAAATTTCTGAAGATGCTCAAAATTAGCGAAACAAATTTCAAGACGTTAAAAATTCGGTTTGTTTAGTGCGAGAAAGATGAATCTTCAAGTTGCCAACCTTGTTTCATTCGTGATAATCTTTTGTTCAGCAAGTTGGGGAAAATAATATGGAGGTTATTAGTTTGCAGAAAATGCTAAATTTTCGGTGAAAAGAAGGAACAAAATTAGCAACTTGAATTGGATCTTTCTAATTATTCCATCTTGAGCTGGATACTTGTGCGAGCGTTTCACATTTTTGCTCATTGTGCATTTCTTTCTGATTGGCTGTAGATATAAAAAGCGATTTTTGAAATTATCTATCTAGGAACAGCTCTGATTTCGTCCAAATTCTGAGTTTTTGTGACAAAATATTCCGAGTCTTACAGTCATTATGGCAATATAAATACAGAATGATTGAAACGGAAGGGTTCTAATGAAATCTATTCTTTCAAAGTCGCATATTATCACAGCTGACATACTGAATGTTTCAAGTAAGTGATGGATGTTTTTCCATCTCAGAAACTTGCCATACAGGAAAAGGTCGAATGGGAATAATTTTCGACAATTTTGTAACAGTAACAACGCATTTCACAGATCGACTCTTTCTAGCTGTTCTGGGTTTTGAGATATTTGGAGGATATTCCTGGAAGATTCCGTGAAAATATTCATGTTGCAACTTTTCATGAAAATTTCGTCCCGGTTCTTCGGATTTTCTACCTTTTTCGTAAGAATTCTCATTTATTTCTTCAATGATGTATTACACTCACTGGAAAACGAATTGACTTATGGAATACCATTTCTGTATTCAATATTTGGCAACATCGCGAAGTTTTTCTTTAAATATCTCTGATAGCCAGATAACTAGAGCGGGTCTTCTAGATGAACTTAGTCACTAATTGTCTAAAACTTTCCTTATTCGATTTTGTTTTATAGCTCTCATAGTTTCTTAGATAGCAATTTGTCTATCGCTAATTTGGGACACTCTGTATGAACATAACTCGTTTGAAATTCAAGCTTGTGCTACTGAGTGAAAGCTGGCACAAATCCAGCTTCAAGTTGAAGTATTTTTCACTTTTGTGATTCAATATGGCTGTTGCTGATGTTGATTATATTTGTTTTTTTTTTCATGACAGTTATTGTTACATTGAAATACCTAAGAATAGCAGTCCCGTTTTTGAAGAGCTTAATACATAGAAGTGTGTCCAGCTTCAAGTGTACCCACCCTCGTATTTTCGAGCAGAATGAATGATTCAAAATTCTGTTTCTCTTTTCCAAAAAGTATTACTCGAAAAGGCCTTCCAGATGGTTCATGAATTGAGTTTGATTTATCATTTCATGGCCTCCAGTGATCAGAGACACTTCAGAAAAAGATCAAGAACAGCTATTTATTCAGGGTGTTTCATTAATATTGCACGAAACTTCGAATCTTTTCGGACATATGTGTTCATATGATTTATTTTCTTATTTGGACTCGAAATATTTGGCCTCGATATTTTATGCAATATTAATAAAACACCCTGTATATCAAGGGAGCAAAGGTATCCTTTTCCCCTGCGTTTGATTGATTGATTATTGGTTGTTCATATTCCACTTGGGAAGGGTCAAACAGTTCTGTACTATTTCTTGCCAGCAGTAACTGTCAAACTGAGTGTCACTTGTCGAATGTCAATTAAAATTCGATTTGAAAAACGAAAGATGTATGAGGTTTACTTGCTCCTCATCTTTAATAACGAACAATCTAACAGTTTCGATCTGAATAATGACAGCGGGAAAACATTTTTGAACTCTTCGTTTTTTATACTTATTAGAATTGACAGTGACAAAAGACAATGCATTCGACTAGTGACACTCAGTTTGAAAAATGGCACAAAATGTCCGACCCTTTCCAAGTGAAATATGGTCAACTGTCAGTGAGTAATTGGATTCTACGAAGGTGCTGATCGGACAACGATTTTTTTTATATTTGCAAGATTCATCTGTCAATTGAGCTAATTATTGTAAGATCGATCTAGCAATTTGGGCTCAATTATAACATCGATCTGACAATTAAGCTTGATTGCAACATCGATCTGTCAATATTTGATAGATCGATCTAACAATAATTAGGCTTAATTGCAACATCAATATGGCAATTAGTGTTTAATTGTCAGATGGATGTTGCAATTAAACTTGATTGCTAGATTGATCTTGCAATTAAGATAATTGCAACATCGATCTGACAGTTTAGCACTAATTGACAGATCGATCTGGCAATTGAGCTTGTTCAATTGCCAGATCGATGTTGCAATTAATAACCTCAATAGCAACATTGATCTGACATTTGAGCACTAATTGTCAATTATATGTTGCATATTTAGGTCTGATATAAGCAATTACCAGATCCATAGTGCAATTATCCTAATTGCAAGATCGATGTTGCAATTAAGCCCTAATTGGTAGATCGATCCTTCAACTAATTAGCTAATAGACAGATAAATCTTCAAAAATATTTGAAAAATTTCGTAACGTCCGTTCAGCGCCTTCGTAGGATTCAAAGGACATACAGGGTGTCCCAATTGAAGGGGGGGAAAAAAGAGTGTGCTACACGTTATTTCTCTACGGTAACTCAGGAGGAAGATGAAAAAGGAGAGAGCTTTTATATTTCTCGTTCATGATTGAAAAATAAACTTGATTCGAAGACCATCTGATTGGTCTTTTTGAGTGGTAGTTGAAAAAGAATCGAGTATTTGGAATGTTCCTTCCACTTTAGTACACTTGAAGAGAGTCACACTGTATACACATATTGAATGTTAAGTTTCAAATGTCCCATTATCAGAAAATAATTATTGTATCACCATATACAGGGTGATCTTCGGCACACTAGTTTTTAAACTCCAAATGAGATTTGTTGAGGATCTACAGGGAGTTGAAGTGAATTGAAGGTCGATAGCTTGAAAAGTATATGTCAGAAATTCCTTACAATTTGAACCATATCTTTCTCTTTCATCTAGCTTTGATCATGATTGAAAAAAACGTACAGATTGTGGCGTCCATTTGAATAAGGGTTCATGATACGAATTTTGCCGCATTTGGTAAAAGGATTTAATTCCAATTCCACCATGTAAATTCTTGTAATTATAGTAATTTCTAATGAAAGGTTGCTAAGGAAGGAAGCTATAGCCCAAATTAGAAGAATTTTTGACATATATGGTATACTTTGAAAGATATCTTTTGAGTAATTATACCGCCCTCATACACTTCATCGCCCTGTAGCATTTCAATTAATCCTACTTCGGGGTGTATGAACCTAGTATTCTCGCGAATATCTTGGACCACTTGATTTTTTCGGGAAACGAATTGAATCACCCTGTATGTTATAGTATTTTTCTTTGTGAATGTCTCAATTGAAAAATACTTATTACTATTTTCCTGAAACACAATCTGTATTCATCTGAATTGATTTGCTTGGCAAATGTGAGAAAATTTGAGACTATTATTGTAGAGAGTAGAACATAGATTATAGGTACATCAGGAAGTTTAAATATGTCATATTTTTATATTATAGTAGTATTTGTTGAAAAATAAATTTTTGTAAATAATTTGTATTTTATTTTTCATTAAGTTTAAAGATCAATGGGACCTTGTTTCTTATTCAGACCCAAAAACCAACTTTGTCATAGGGCCTTCAAATTTGGTATACAGGGTCCTTTAGGGATGCCCTAGTGCGGAGAAGAAGAGCACAGCCCTCTAGCTTTTAATAGAAAAAGAAAAGTAATTTTTGACCCCAATTCGCTCTGACTTTTTTTTATGCTCGATATCATATAGAGCCACTGAGCACAACTGAGTTGATTCACGT